AAAACAACGCTTTTGTGGATTGAAGAAGGAGGAAAGATGTTATTTTTATTCGGTCGTCCCCAATATTCGATTCTTCTTCGCATACTTAGATATTCGTATAATATTATTCGGGTCGCAGAACTTCCTGTGTTTTGGGATTTGAGAGGCGGATCCTCCTCGTCTTATTAGGTTTTACAGTCTTTAAATTACTTGTATGTTTACAGCCTTGTGCTGATAACGATAAACAAACTCTCTTCTTTGCTGCTTTTCTCGTCTCGACGTTGCACCACGATTCTGGCATAAGGATCCCGCGTTTCCTAACAACCGATTCCCCTGGTGGCATAGCGAGAAAGCGGACGGAAACTAACACACAGGGCTGGCGGCAGTTCGTAACTCCTTGGAACTCGTTGGAACTGGTAACATCTTCGCTACTTCTCGAGTGACAACGGGTTGGAAAGGTATAAAGCGACGTCGTTCCTGTCGCGCCACCCAACACGCGTCCTCTGACGCTTTGATCTTTCGCTGCGACGCCATCGGGCATCGAGGGCGGGCCTGCTGGGGTGTTCTTTCCTTCCCCTCGACTGAACGACGGACGCTCGAACGTCCTTTTGCCACTTTTGACGCGGTGTCTTTGACTTCGTTGACCGAGACGACGTCGGTCGGGGGAAATGAAGGTGGCGCGTCAAGGAAATTCCTTCGCTCGTAAAATCGAATTTTCCGAACAACAATGAGCTCAATCTTCTCGTACCGGGCAGCCACGATGTCATTATCACCGCGTTGTGTTTACTTCCTTATCGTCCATTGTGTGCCGATACGTTGTTTCGGAGGGTGATCCAATTCAACGGTCTATCAATTTTCCGCCGGGTGTAAATCGCGCGTCCGTTTTCTACGTATCGAGTTCGCTCGAGATGTATGAACTTTGGATAGAGCAGAAAGTTTGATCAGTAATATGCTCTCTTTCTGTTTTTTCCTCCAATTTCGATTACATGCAATCGTACATTGAAAAATATGTTTGATGGGATCTACATGACAGACCAAACGCAAATAAAGGAAAGCAAATTTTTAGTTTTAGTGAACGATAAGTTTGGTTCTTATAACGAAAAATTCGATTTCCTTGAACCAAAACACGTTTAATTGTCCATTGTCGGGTAGATATCCAACCAAACTCATTTTCAGCTTATGATTCGACGATCGCACGTGTGCGGCTTTGTGTTATTGGTCGAGGGCGAGCCAATTGATCGGTAAACGTAATCGAATCCACGAAGTTTTATTTTCTCTTTTAGCGAGCGGGGTCGGTTGATATAACGCCGACGTATCGAATTGCTTATCAGTGCGCCGACAACAATTATTTTTGGCTCAAATGCTTCATCATCTTTGGTTGAATTCGAAACGTAATATTCACGCGCGGATATATTATCAGCGGGCGATTCGCCGCCAACTTTCACATTATTCGTTCATAAGAGGATAATTTCGATAAACGTATGCGCGCAGCATTTGATGCATCAGTGCTACAGGCCGCTTTAGCGTCATGCGGCGATAATTATCGCACGTTTCTCCGCTGTTCATTTAATATTTCAGGCTGTTGGCGTAAACAAAAGTGTATCGGATTTCCCGCTGCAGGGCGGTCATATTGACCGGACGCGGTACAAGCGTTCGCTCGGAATCGCGTGTGCATTAATAATCCCAATAAAATATATAATCAATCGTGGACAATAGTCGGCCCGCAAACACACGCTCTCATGAATACTCGCGCCTTGAGAGAAAAAGATCCGGTGCATGTTAATTCCTTCGGTTCGTGGAAATATTGTGGTCGGCGATTAATAAATAATAATTGTCGTGGATTATTCGTTTTAAAAATCTCCACGACAGCTGGAAAGAAAGCGAGAAAAGGAATATCGCGGCTTGAGGTAAAAAGCGAGAAAACGAATATCGCGGCTCGCAGGTAGACAGAGCGTGCAACGGGGAGACAGACAGTTTGTCGTAAGAAAAAAAAGAACACAGAATGAATCCCGATTTGTCTACGACGCGCATGTCGTCGTGACGTATTTTGCGCGCGTTACACTCCCATTATTGGAGCGCATTACGGAGGTCGCGATGCGACGGACGGGACACGGTAAAATGAACGTAACGCCGATAGGGTTGATAGATCACGCATTTCCCTGACGCCGTCGATGAGCCGGGCACGGTGAGCGAGCGAGCAAGCGCGCGCGCACCGGCTATTTCATTTTCCATCTCAGTGGATTTGCCGGGGCTAATCGATAATCACACCGCAGACACGCCCGACGCTCGCTGCGATAACAGCTAGCGAATGGAGAACCAACTTCGCCCTTGGGAAGCTATTCCGGCAACGGTTATCGACAGTCGGCAGCCTCTACATCAAGCGTGATTTTCTCGAGGAGGTGTTTTATATTTGCGCGCCGGTTACACCGCGCCTTAAACTCGCGATCTCGAAAGCGCCGAAATTGCCCATTCTTCGCGATATTTTCCCCAATTCGATCCTCCGCGCGAATTTCGCGTCGAACTCGATTCTCACGCGTGGAACGATTTTTCCTCGGCGTGTACGCATGTCCCGCGTACCATCGACTGCGAAAGTCACCGAGCGTACCGTCCGATGGTTACATCCGGTTGCTGGGAATGCAGTTGATCGCGTGTCGTTTGTGTAACGCCTGATCGAATCCGACTTCTTTCGTGTCGGTCAATAGAGTTTCGTGTTGCCCTGCAAATTGCTCCGGAAGCAATTAGCAGCGTCTGCGTATGCGCGTTATTGAAATGGCACGCAGCGTTGCGAATGTATTTTAAACGATATTGCAGAGCTCGGACTGAAAATTCGAAGAACGAATGTTCGATCGGCGAAAAATGAGTTTGATTGAATCTACCGGACAACCAAACACATCTCGATTGGAGGAAACAGAATTTCTGCCTGTAAAAACCAAATTTCATTCATGAGAGCTAAAAGTTTGGTTTTCTTCAACCAAAACAAGCCGTTGATTGTTCATTGTCAGGCAGATGTAACCAAACTCATTTTTCAATGTGAAAACAATCGAAAGACGCTAATTATTCAACCGTTCGATCCGTTCACAGTGCTCGTTGAACATTTAAGCGCTCGAATGGCTCGGAGAATTGAGGGCGTAAATAATATTCCCCGGGAATAAATCTCTGCGCAGATTTCCTCGTCGCAATAGATCGCTTAACTTCGCAGTTCGAACACAGTGCGAACTATTATGGATTTATGACCGATGAACTATACTAATTACCTATCGAATCGATTGCCGACACAATGAACTCAGTCCCGCCGAGAGGACTCCCGTTCGTCGCGAACCGTTTCCTGCGACTAATTAAAGTTATATCGTCTCTCTCACGTGTGAAGTCCCCTCCTCTCCGAAAACGAGGTCAAAGACCGGCCAGGTGACGGCAATAACGAAAGAAATTTATTGAGACGGATGGGGCGGCGCAAACAAAACCGTGAAAATTGCGGGAATACGTCGTTAACGAGGGGCGTCGTAAAAGCGCCGGCCACGTTGCCCACCGAAATCACCACTTTTGCCCCGGAAAATTAAGGAAACCCATCTAACAGTCAACATAATTTCCGACCTAATGGCCGATCAACGTAACTATTCGCCGTCCCGGCGTAGACGCGAAATCTTCGTGCGCAAAACTTTATTACAGATTGTTCGCAGATGTACGTCGCCCGGGGATTTGCCTCGAGACATGCGGAAACGTTGGTCATATTTGCGAAATATAAACGTAATTCATGAATTAGGCAGACCAACGTGGAAAATACGCGAGAAAAAAATACACGAAAGCGCCACTTTGCGAAAAATATTTCACTAATTCGAATATTTCGAATTGCTTAAAATAATCATGTACGATAAGCTATCGTTTATTATAAAAAAGTAACAAATGTTTTTACATATAAAGCGGGCCTTGTACACCAAAAAAAGTCGTCAAAGTTTATGAAGAATACGTGAAAAGATACAAATATACGACATTATGCGGTGTCGCGAAATGCGTAAAAAATGCGCGTTTGTAATTTTTCGGTATAAACTTGTTTCAACTTCTCGACAATTATTTCACTCCAATCAACGAACAAAAATAGTTATACCTCGGCATAGTTTTTGCCGCTCCGCTTGCAATGTAAGTATTATGTCAGTGTAGCGAGTTCCATTTACACGACGTCTTTCCTGTTTTTATTAACGGATCGATCGACCTTACCGGGAACTTCGATCGTAACGGATAAAGTCAACGTTGGAGTTTCGCGGTTTTGTTTGGCGGTACGCTATCGCTATGGCAACTTTGCGAATCGCTTGCGCGCGCGCATTTTCCACGTCTTCTTTTTCCACAAAGAATCGTCGGCGACTCGCGTGGATATATTTCTCTGTCGTGCACACGGTGCATTGACCGGGCACGCGATAAGCCAATTAATTAGGCTGATGTGTAACGGTTGCGAGTATCATCGATTCGTATCAATCGGTTGAGTTTGGACAGGCTTGCAGGTAAGGTCCGCCATCTAAAAGCCATTTAACAGTGCGTTAATTAGCGGAATTACTACATTAACGGTAATTAGAACGGCGCGCCGCGAAAGACGTGATCATTCTTGTTATTTGCATACCGCAAATATTCTCCGCGCGCGTTATCAATGTGATATCCTCAATTATAGAATCGAGTAATGTTACTGAGAGAACTTGCTTCACCTCGCTAAAAATCTTCATTTTCTGCAATTTATTTATAAGCGACATCGTACTTTACATCCAACTTTTCCGTTTCGACATTGCAAATCCAAGAAGCCATTCCAACTTCGTTAAAAAACGAATGAGACGACTCTCTCTTAGAGATTAACGTTTCATTGATTGAAAAATACATAGTCGGAGGGACGAGTTCGCCCGTGAAAGATAGTTCATCCCAACGCATCCGGGTCGAATAGACGGCAAGAAATCTGTATGCGATAGCTGTTCGCGCAGGGTCCTCGGATTTGAAAGTTTGTCTTTAGCTCGAGCTGCGGTATAAAAATCTCATTTGTACAGTGACGATCCGGGCGACGGAGAGGAAGACCGAGAGATAACGCGACGGTCGGAAAGCGCCAAGGAAATAACAGAGGTTGAGCAACGAGATGCCGATTGATTGTTATTACTTTCCGCCGAGTCCACCGTGCCGTACCGTCATGTTGCTCGCGAAGGCTCTGGGCGTTCATTTTAACTTCAAGATATTGAATGTCATGAAAGGGGAGCACATGAGCCCGGAATTTTTGCAGGTTCTTCGATTTACACCGCTTTTATCTCCGCACTTAAATTGATTAACCCTTATTATTTCTGTGAATAAGTGCGAACGTATATATATATATATATATATAATGGATACAATCTTATTGTATAAAAAGCTGTTTTGCTTTTTAGATAAATCCGCAACATATTATACCAACCATTGACGACAACGGATTTATTCTGTGCGAGAGGTATGTGAAATTTATATTTCTAACTCAACCCTTGAAGATTTAAATGCGCTGCAAAAATATTTGATATTTTACACATCTACCAGATTTTTTTTTATTAGATATGTTTTTATGTTATTCTTTTCTTTCCCGCTTTCTATTTTAATTTGATTTAATCTTTATTTTTATTTGAAAAATGTTATTAATTATTTCTGGATAATATGTATAACATATATAAGATTGAACAAAGTTTGAAGTATTCGTTTTTACTCAAATGTATTTATTCAAGCGATACTCTGTCTCTGATTAAATTTCATACATTCACGCAATTTGTGTATTATTACAGTCGTCCGATTATGGCATACTTAGTCAGCAGATACGCCAGAAACGATTCCCTTTATCCGAGAGATCCAAAACAGCGAGCATTGGTCGATCAAATGATGTACTTCGATGCTGGCAGTCTTTTCCCGAGAATTATAAAGTGTTACGTGCGTGTCGATTTTCATCTACACGATTGATTCAATGTTGTTTTATTATTTTCATGGCAAACTATTATCGTTTTACGTTTCATGGTCATTGGACATCGTTGCGACCACAGATTCTGCGGCTAATTTCTGTTTTTTTTTTTTTGCTTACATGTTTGTCCAGTATTTTTGGATCATTCAGTAATGTTCTACTTTTTGTATCAATTACTTATTTCATGCGATACTCGTGTTTTGGTGTACGTGTGAAAATTATCATGTAATCAGAATATTTATAAAAATTGTTTTCATTTAACGGTATTATTTATGGAGTTCAGATAAAAAAATGACTGATGGAAATGATCACGCAGATGCCCGTGATTCGAGGTATGTCTCATTCCGTTGACGAGGCAGATGTGGAACGAGTAGAGAAATCGTTCGAAGTACTCAACTCTTTCCTGGAGGGAAAAGAATTCTCGGCGGGCGACGATTTGACCATTGCCGATTTCACTATCAGTACGTCCATCTGCCTGGTGCAGGTGAGTACGTTCACGACTGATGAAATTCGAATAGTGATCGCGAACGTTTCAAACAATTTCGAGATTACAGTGTTTCGACTTCGACATTGGCCGTTACGATAACGTCGCTTCCTATTACGATCGTTGCAAGGAAAGCCTGGAGAAATTTGGCTTCGAGGAAGTGCACGCCTTCGGTGTTAAAGCGTTTACCGAGATGTACCACGCAAACCTCCAAGAATCCAGTTAACGCGGATACGACTATGGATATTTGTATGCGTCTAAAGAGTGGAGTAGAAGGAGAGAGAGAGAGAGAGAGAGAGAGATCGATAGTACCTCGTTTACTTGAGATCGAGATTAGACATGGAAACCCATCGTTACCTTATAGAATTTAAAATTCGCTTTTTACCTTCGCGAGATTTTAAATCGAGTTCTCACGGCTTTATTATAGTAAATCTAATAATAGTGTATCTTAGAAGAAAATTTTTATTATTACATATATGTGATCTCTGCTCATCTGCTTTTTTTTTGTATTTGCTTCCGTTAATGAATGACGCGTGAAATCAATAATATTAACTGACACGCTACGTACACTGACAAAACACGTACTAAATACACTGACAAAAGATTACAGTTGGTTTAGGCGCCAAATATATTTTATGGTGGTAGCAACATGCATTGTAAGGTTATTATCATTGATATTATAGTAACACGTTAGAAAAATGGTTCTCCTGATTATTTTTGTGGTTACGTTTGGTAAAGAGTATGTTTGACGCCGAAACTAATTATAATTTTCTATCAATAATTATATGTATCAGTAATCTTATATATGTATATTCTGCTTTTCTCTTCTTCTTTATATCAAAAAATACATGTAGCACTGATCAATTTCGTATAGACACGCACGCGTTTTAAGAAAGATATATGTATAACAGATTTAATTAGAAACTGAACATTAGAAATGTACTAGAGGACGTAAAAAAATAAACGTAAATTACTACATTTCGTTCATCGGACATTACAACTTTGACCGTTTCGGCCAGATGGTATCGGCGATAAAAATTATCAAGCTAACAAAAATCAATATTCATCTAGCGGATGTTGAAAAGATATAACGACGGCGATGACGAGTCGACGGCACTGTGTGCACCTCGCCTTGTCATCATTACACTTCGTTCTCTTAATTACAGTATGACGTAGAGCTCAGTAGCATGTACTAGAGTGTTCGTTGGAGTCTAACGCGTCGCGTACACACCGTGTTGTTACCCGAGCGTGCATTAGGAAGGCTGATAACGATCGTCGAGACGAAACGAGAGAGCCGAGGCGTCGGTCTGCGTTATCCGCAGATCTTATCTCGTCCTTCATATTTTTCGTTCGGCCATATGGTACATATCCGCTATATTATTACGTGTACTTTCGTTAAACACACTTGCGAACATCTTTGCTAACGTAATTGCAACGCAATGACGACGACAAAAGCGTTGTTATGTGGAAGTCGGTTTATCGCGCGCTTCGTCGAAACACGCCTATCGGTAGCATTTACTTATCGAAACCGCAACCGCGCAGATATTCGTACACGTAGCACTCGATCGTTTATCTGCATTGGCATCGCTTAGATATGGGTATGTACGTGTATTATATTGGTCATGCCGGCGAACAATTACGCAACAATCGGCGATTCCGATCGGCGTTCTCTGATGACGAGGCAGAAACGCATTTCGCGGACGTGGAATCTATTCGTGGGCAAGTATTTGTTGTCTCATTTGTTAACTCGTATTAGTTATGTTCATGAGATTTCACCTCTCTTTTTTCAATTAACTAAGGAGTCGGGCAAATTTCCATTTCAATCATTTTAATATTTTCGAAATAAAAGAACGATTAATGACCGAAGATTTATTCCGTAAAACGATGAATTAAATTTCTTATTCGAAAACTGGCTTCTTGTATTTATTTGTGTACGAAAATTTGTTATTCGAATGAAAAAGTTTCTTCGATTCAGTTTTTTGCTATTTGTTGTTTTTATCCACTGTGTGCGAATGAAAAATATGCTAAAAGCCACGGCGACAAAATATCATTATCATATCACTCTCTTGCAACACAGTTATATATTATTCTGATAAACCTGAATCTGATATGAGTTGCCGGTATCTGTCATTACGTAAATATGAAACTACAAGATTCAATGACACATGATCTGTTATCAGTATTGTATGTTTGCGCTGGAATAAACTTAGATTCGCAAACTATCGTTCAATGACGTCTGTATGATTACTCGTATCGAGAGACCTTTCACACTTCAGACAGTTAAAAATTTGCAAGTAACCCGGACACGTATTAATTTTGTCTGATGGAAGACGGTTTCCGAAATTTGTCAAGGCGCTCAAGGCGAGATCGACAGTCCGAGCGTTAACTTGAAATTCATGTTGAAGTCTTGGACTGCCTTTCGATTTCGAACACCGCTGATACTCCGAACTTTTAATGACGTTTTAGTTCGTTCTACTTGCAATTCTTATTTTCCGCGCGTGTATAAATGGTCCCGTGGGGGCTGTTTACATACGATGCGAAAAAACGTCTCTGCTATTTCGATGTCGATCGCAGTCACAAACTTATACAACGCGATCGATCGTCAGGTCGTAAACTCTATGAAACTGTGGCCCACTTTTATCCGCAGCAAAGGCGACTAACGCGAGGTTCCCACGCGATGCGCACAACACGGGACGGCAATAGCGCTACGCGAATTGCCGAATTAGCGCGCGCTTCGAATTCGAGGGATTCGTTTTGATCAAAGCCGGTTGGGCGGTTTTAATCGCTCGCGGTTGACCGTCCGGCAACTTCCTTGGAGAACGCGACGGGCATTATCGCGTAAGTAGTTCTATCGAGTTATTAGCCAGTTGCCAGCAGCTCGGCCAATGCGTTAAACTTTTAATGCAATTATACTTGGAAATTTCCTACAAAGCGAATTAATTCGCCGCGAAACTAAGTAACATAAAGCGGTTAAGTTGATAACGTCGATGGATTATCGCATAAGCGGTTGGATCGTTCATCGGAGTCTTTTTAGGCGCTCTCGACGTCAAAATTGATTTCCCGCTGGAACGTTCCGGTAAATATCAAAGTTAACCGAGATTTAATTCATTTACCCGAAGGAAATACATTCTCACGCGTGCGTGTCGTTTTAAATTGAATCCTCAAAAGGTTTTGTTTTTGAAGATTTGAAGAAACAAGGAGGAAAAAAACTCATGAAAGTTAAACAGAACCACACGCGTCTTCGTGTTGTAATAGAAGATTGCTGGCTCAATGATACATTATCACGGAAGAGTCATCAAACGCGATGTTAGTGCGCAATTCCTAACTGAATATGAAGTCGCAACGTTGTGCAACCGGAAAAACGAAACGTACATATATATCTAACTATAGATAGTATCTCGGAATGTGTCAGAATAAGATATGAAGTATATCGCAAAATATCAAGGTATTCTTTCTTCGAGGCTCTTGCTCTAATGTTTTAATTTTATAATTTATACGGAAAATGTCAAAATCTGGAGTGATAATTTAAGAATTAAATTAAAGATTTTTATAAAAGCAATACTGATTTTTATTTCTACTTCTACTTCCACTTCCAACTTTAATTCCATTTCCGCTTCTATATTTTTCTTTTTATTTATTGTTATAAATTATTCTTGCTCTTATTATCTTTTATTATTCTTCATCAAAGAAATGTTGTGGAAACTTTTATTAAAAAGAATCGAACTCCCTTTATCGATATCCCAGTGTGAAAGTTGAGGGCATTCCTCGTAGTTTCTGTCACAAGTGGTATCAGCGATAATTACTTAAATTGATAGGCAATTATCTTCGTATTACCGACGATAATTTCCGAACACCTCATGTTTCGAACACCACATCCTCGTTCGTTACACCCGAACCATTGAGCGCAATCGGTACACATTAAGGTGCGAATCAAAAAACACGTTACGTTCCGAAACCTTGCGTTTCAAGGCTCTCGCGCTTTCACTTTTACCGTCAAGTGACTGCTTCTCTGCACCTTGGTCCTATTTAATAAAGGCGGTGGGACTTACGTAATTTGGAAGGAAATATATACATGCGTAAACGCTGTTTTATCGGCTTACTGATAATACAATCGTTAGCGATAGTTGTATGTTTGTGATTAATGAGAGATTCATAAGATTTCATCTCTTGAAATATCCACTATGATTATTCAGAATTGTTATCGAAGTATATTGTGCTTATTGCAAACATCGATGGTAATCAAGCGCAATAATATTGTAGAGACATTAAACTGTCAATAAAGTGTGGAGTTAACGATTCTCGTAATACTTGAGTGTAAAGTCGCAACCTTGTGGAAAAACGACTATAAACTACTACTAACTCGCAATTTGGACGCTGAATGGGCACTCAGGATCAGAGTTCATCGCCATTTTACACGCAGAAAAATTTTGATACTGCTGAAACTGAATTCTTTGCTCGTTAATAGGTTAATATCGTGTCATCGATGTGGGCGTGGACGAAATAAATGTCATTTTTTTTTCTTTCTTCCGCCGTCGATACAATCTCGCTGAGTCATTTCCCGAGCAGCGGCCACGGTGGTACTCTAAGTTTTTTTCCGATGTGTAAAGCGAAGCATGATCGGCACTTTTGGTACTGTGACGAATTATCGGCATGCATCGCGAACTGATTAACACTGGTGGATCAATTAGCCGATGAAAATTTGATACACGTTATCGAAGTATTAATAAATTCAATGGAAAATTCCGTGTAGTCATATTTAAGCAAACTTTTATTTTAAACATGTACGAAGTACTACTGAAATCAGTGTGCTATTTAATAATATATTAAAGTGTACCGAAGTGTGCGAATAATGAATAAAAGCACCGAATAATCGAGATAGAATAGGAAATTGTGCGATTTAAGAATGAATGCGATTAAAAAGTTAATTTGGCGTGATGGAAGAAAAGTTAAAATTAAAATCGAACGACGTTAAAATAAAGATGGCAAGTACCGACATTGTGCGAATTTTCTCGGTTAAGCGACCAAATTGTCCGAAGGTTATCGTTGATAATTTCGTGATGAAGCATAACGTCGCCACCGAATCTCTTAATAATGTATATCGCTCGATGATTGTAGCAAAACGTTATTGCTGTTATGCAAATAGGACGGATGTAACGATCACGGATCGAAAAAGTCGTCGGCGTGAAGCGCCCGACTAAAACGACGCCCCCGCCAGTCGGTTAGAATTGAGAACCTTCGGCGCATGATCGATCTCGCTCTCGCGTGCGTAGAATAGTGAGGTTGCACTGTTCACGCAGGGTTTATAAATAGCTTGAACAAGCAAGCTGGTTAGACAGTCTGCCATAATCTCGCTGAGCGCCTCCAGAGACCACAATCCGCAGGTTCGCTTTGTCGTGACTACTCATTCTCTCTCTTTCTTTCTCGTCATTTTCTTTCCTTCGCTCACTTCTTTCTTTCACTCTCTCTCTCTCTCTCTTTTTTCCCCGCGTGCTCTTTACCTGTCTCAAATAATCCGGAGCAGCTCGAGTGACAAGAGACCGCCTCAACGATCGCGAATTTGTGATTCATGGTGCGCGATTTCGCGAGGGATCCGCGGCGAGTAACACGTCGCTCTCTCGTATATGAACGCTGTCGTTTATGAAGACGGAAGTTTGCGCAATCAATTACCGCGGAGTGCGAAAACAAATGTGTGAAGCTACAGTATTCTACAGGCTCGCAATAAATTCATCACCTAGAATTTGGCAAGTTTGTCCTTTTATACCAACGCTGAAGGTGCTATCGAGATGCATGCATATTCTCTCTTTAATATCTTTTCCTCAGTGCCTGCCTTCTTTTGACACCTTCTTTTTCGCTTTCCGTTAGGGAATTCCATCGCGTTCGATGAACTCTGATTTATATTTTCTTCGAGGTATCTTATGTAACACACATCCACATACAGACCGGTAATTATAGATATGTTATAACCGCGCGTTAATACACTCAATTTAGCATTGGCGAAACACCAAGGACGTTTCGACAACACTATGAATGTGCAATACACAAGAAAAGCACGCAATTTCCAGACGACACGCTGACCTAAAGAATAAAAGAGCGATTCGAAGGCGGGCTCCTCAATATTTAACCTCGCACTATCGCGTAATTCGTATAATCGCTGCCGAATGCCAGGGACAAGATTCCCAAACGGTGTAAGACTTGTCTAAACTTTGAAATAAAGCCTTCTTTTGTACAACTCTTCTCGCATACAACGCCCGATAATCCTCAATTTCCGAAATATACGTCACGTCTCGAGACTATTCGAGTGTGATTGATAAGAATATCGAGATATACGATGTTATATCTCGGACAAACGAGGCGTGACACAATAGCGAATGACTTTTTAAGATATATTCCGTGATTGATTGAAGTACTTGTGAGAGACGGAGAGGGATTCGATTGATACATTTCTCTTACAACGGTGAAAGCTCAAACAACGCCGACATGAACGTGCGCAATTTCGCCATTGCCGTCGTGATTGTGTGTTGCTGCATCGTATTATTAATATGGAGAAGAGAAATATTTGGCGACATCACGCAGCCAATCTCTACGTTAAACAGTAAATCAACATCACCGCGCGAGACATTCTTGAGCGACTGCACGGGAGCACGTTCATCCGAGAATCGCGGAAAATTGGATCTCGCGCCGTGACAAGGCGCCGAGCTCCAGCAACAAAGAAGTACAACACGATTACTCGCGAATTCACCGATCATTCCGGAGGCGATCGCCGATCTTGTTAAGTGACGCGTCGATGCGAGCCTTACAAGGACATCGCGAACGTTCAGAGCGAGTGATTTTCTCGCGGGATTAATCTTGTTCATTTTGCCGCGCCACGCACACCTCTTGTATCTTGATATATTAAATTAATGTTTGTCGAAAAGTGCATGGAGAAAGATAATTTGATGGCGCGACAAGTTTTATGCTGTTGCAGCCAAATCTGTCAGTTACTATGTGGACAACGATTCGATAAAACTTCTGTCAACAAATGGGAGGGCTGCTTCGAAATTACGCGATTTCGCAATATTACTCAGCGAGTAAGGCGATGATTGGCAAACTTCTGCCGGTGTTGCGAATGTCGTTGCGCAACAGAGTGTGTTTGCACGTGTCATTGTCATACCATTATTCTAAAGTGTTATCTAAAGTGCGCTCTATACGCAGTAACGGCGGGAGTCACGTTTTCTACCTTTGTAGTACAAAAAACTGCAATAGAATTCTGCTTGTTATTCCTTAGTACCTGGAATTATTATTTGCAAGAATTTCACAACGAATATTTCTTGATCACTCCTTCGACAAAATCTTATCGCGAATCTGGTTTCCATCGCCATTCTACGCAGCATTTTACACATTCATTGATAACAACAAGAACGACAATTTCGAACTAGTTTCTCTTACGACAGTGAAAGCTCGAACAACGCCGACATGAACGTGCGCGTCATTGCCGTCGTGATATGTGTTGCTGCATCGTATTATTAATCTGAGGAGAAGAAATATTTAGCGACATCACGCAGTCAATTTCTACGTTAAATAGTAAATCAACATCACCGCGCGAGACGTTCTTGAGCGACTGCACGGGAGCACGTTCATCCGAGATTATCGTAATTATTGTTCTCGTAGGTAAACGTAAATAAGACCTTTTCGGAAAATTTTGCCAGCCTGAACGTAAAAAATACTTGCATATGTAATAATAAGTGATATTGGCTGACATTCGCATGAGAACTTGGTGCTTATCGTTGAATACATTTTTGCGTCGCTCGAGTACCTCCGAGAGAGTCACAGATACAATCGATCACCGGCCGCTTCGTTAATCGCACGTTTTCGCAGATCGCAAGATGCCCATCGATCTTTACCACTTGCCCGGCAGTGCCCCGTGCCGTGCCGTGCGTCTGGCGGCGGCTGCCGTAGGAGTGGACTTGAACCTGAAGCTGACCGATCTCATGGCCGGCGACCAAATGAAACCGGAATTTCTCAAGGTAACTCGCGACTAACTCGGTATTTCTCCATGTATAAGCAAATTCACGATTACCATCGGCATGAAATCATTGTTATATGCTGTACAGTAAACGCCATAATAGTCTTAACATTTACTAGGTCTAATGACAATGGAATTTTTCGATTACACGCAATGAATCGGCCTATTCATTATCACTGCTACTTTGGAACATCTTTGTCGGTTCATAAAATAATCAGTCATGATGTACGAATATGTCGATTCATTATTTGTGATTGAAAAACCTCATTGTCTGGGCCAAGGCTATTGTGGCGCTTAATGTACCATTCCTTAGATCGAAAATTACATTATTTTCAGCCTCACACATAAAGTAAAAAATTGTTATAATTAAAGCATTGCAAACCTTTTCATTGTAATTCGAGAAAATTGTGCAATTTTCCGCCCGGGAAATAATGCAACATACATATCTGTACAGTGTGAAAGTGTGAAAACAGCACGCACATTAACACGAAATAATTGTGTCATAAAAAGAAATAATTGCCGTGTGTCATGTAACAATGTACTTTTGTTATATAATCGCGTGACTTACACAGTCGTTATTATCTGTTTGAATATAGATGAACCCGCAACATACGATTCCTACGATGGACGATAATGGCTTTTACTTGTGGGAGAGGTATGGAGGGAAGCTTATCTTAATATTTCAACGCGGTCGTGCTAGTGTTTAGAGGATCGATCCTAATACGAATACGACTATCTTACGCAGTTATCGATCCATCGTTCCAATTTTTTCACAGATCCTTCCTGTATTCTTATCGGGAGAATCATACTTTACATTTTGCTGATAACAAGTTATACATCGTTCGATCTGTATCTCTCATTTACGAATCTATCTTTCTAATCAATTCGCTTTTTCGCCACGTTCGATCTTGAAGACGTAACTATAATCAATCCTTCAATCTCCAGATGGATAAATATGTTTGTTACGAAGGAGAAAATCGATTCTGATATATGACGTGGAAAATCGCAAAGAAAAAACTAGTACGGCACATCTGGGGCATTCTTTACACATATTATCACGTGATCACAATAACGAATGAAATATTAACTCCGTTAGTCGCGGTATTTCTTACTCATGAAATGTCTTTCACAAATACATTAATTTTCTCATTATTTTCCTTTGCTTCCCGAGACCATTTTTATTTCATTAACATTTAGTTGATGGGCCAGGCACAAAAATACATATAAAAATTGAAGAATAAAGAGAATAAAAAAGAAACATTGACAACGAGTTTAACCTTGAGCAACAGCGATACATTGTAGGCTCAACGTGTATCTATTGGATATGGCGGTTAAAGTTGCTCGTATACGTGGACGTTGATATAACACGATTGTATATTGCGTTCATTGCTTCAATTCATACGCACTTTGCAGCCGAGCGATCATGACCTATCTAGCCAATAAATACGGCAAGAACGATTCACTCTACCCGAAGGATCCTCAAAAGCGAGCCGTGGTCGATCAAAGGCTATACTTTGACATGTCAACTCTGTACCAGTCATTTTCCGATTACTACGTAAGTTGTTATTATCCTTCTTTTTTGCTAATTATTTGATTACGCGATAGGAATTGACTCATAAAATGGACGTCTGCGTATGTACAAATAACACGTTTCTTGCAGTATCCGTATATCTTCGCCGGCGTCAAGCAGGATCAGGCAAAATACGACAAGATCGAAAAGGCGCTGTCTCTCTTGGATAAAATATTGGAAAACGAAAACTACGTGGCCGGGAAAACTCTCACCCTCGCCGACCTCACCTTGGCCGTTACCGTTTCTACCATGAAGGTGGGTAATTGATTTTCCGTGCATTTCGTATCATCGATTCACCGGTAAAACGATGAGTCTACGCGGAACAAATCAAAGTTCAAAGCTATAACTTCGAATTGAATAAGCGGACAAACGCAACTTTCCTCGCGATGATATCAAGCTCTTTCTGCAAACTGTATTTTCGGATTTAACGGTATGTGACCAAAAGTAGTGTCGCCCCTTATTTAAGCGTCAAATATTTATGTTATTATACGCTACTTATAAATTTCACGCGAGTTCTCGCGTTCCTTAAATGTATAACTTCACTTGGCTTACGTAACGCGTGATTGTGTGTTCACACGCGACTAAAACTGCATACGTAAGTTAAATTTAAGCTCATTCATAACCTAATTTTACAAACGTACTATAACAATAATACCAGAGAACCGGTAATTCATTCACGGATATGTTTCTCTTTGCAGGTCGTGGATCATGATATAAGCAAATATGGCAATATTCTGAAGTGGTACGCTAGAATCGAGGCTGAAGCTCCTAAATACAAAGAGATTCAAGAGGAAGGCTTAAAGAGTTTCAAAGATTTGGTCGACAGCTTGAAGAAGCAGTGATTTACAGACACGAATTTTGCGCTCGAGAATAACGCATGATTTTTATATTGATCTATCGTATCGGTATTTTTATACGTTACACAGATCGTGTCGTAATTTTGCACAAAATAAATTATAATTGTTAAATAAGATGACGAATGGGTGCTTATTTAAAGGTATAATTAAAAGAAAAATGCAACTGCATGAAAAGTTAGAAAAAACTAGTTGGAAAAATGGATTTTAATAAACAAAAGATGCAGTTGCAAATTACGCGCGGTTTTATAACGTAAACTGTACCGTAAAGTGTAGAAGATTATAGGATTAACATTTTACGTTCCGCGCCGGTAATCGTTCTCTGTTCTCTCGTTACATAGTTGAGGAAACTTATTATTAAAATATTACTGGAGAATATATATCTTCCGTAAATTTCTCACGGAGGATGAAGCTGGGAATTCTCACCTCCGTTGGTCACTTAACAACGGGAAAACTTTTAGCATAGTTTCCGTGAACGGTCTGCTTTCATCGTTGGAGAATCTTGACCTCGCCCTCGCGGCATTGCTTTGTCGTGAACAAAAAGTTTCCGTGGCGAATGGCCAGACCAAAATCCTCTTCTCTTCCCTCTCCTTCCGCCCATCACCTGCCACTTCAAATCCTGTTAACAGGTAGATTTTCGTCTTATCGATCGGCTGCAAAGTTACGTCGTACACACGACAAAGTCTCACGAGCGACATAAAGCCGATTAATAATTAATATAATTATCCTGACAAAGGTTGAGCGTCTTTGTCAATTCTGATTTATCTATCTGGGATTTACGGAGTACACAAGATGCTCGAAAATTTTGTGGATCAAGCGGTGATAGAAAATAGCTAGATTTATAATATAATAATGTTATCAATAATAATAATAATAATAATAATAACAAAACTACTTGTGAAGATTTGTTGAGACCAGGTCTACAAATATCAAGAAGCGGAAACTGTAACGACTCCTCCAACTTGAAATTTTTATTTCGTTTCGCCTTTCATAAGAGCGATCTTCGAGTCGAACACGACGTTAACGAGTTTTTCGAACCGTGAACTTGTTCGTTCTCATTACGCGCGTAATTTGCCACTATGCTAGTCGACTCACCTTAGACCCGTTCATTTGGCTCCACTCTTTAAATAGCGTTTAACGATAGCAATAATTACGGCGTAAGAGCCATACTTACATTCGTCGTATTTAATCGGTGATCGCGAAAATACGACTGATAATATAGGAAATAGACTACGTAACAAGCTGATGGTCCATAAAATGCCGAATGTTGCGTATAAGGATAATACCAAGAGGAATAATCAAAATATAAAATTGACGCGTGTCATAAAATGCCTTTACCGCTGTCATCTTCTCTCGGTAAGAGAAGGAAAATCACGTGTTTCACAAGATTTGATAGATATTCGAAAAGCGTGGCGCAGCCGCAAAATTTTTATTACAGGTATGTACTGAGAGAATGTAGAGAAAATATATGTCATAACAAAGAAACGAATTTCAAAAATAAAAAAAATGTGCCAACGGCACACGGTTATTCCCAAGTGGTCACCCATCTAAGTACTAACCGTGCCCAACGTTGCTTGACTTCAGGGATCAGACGAGAACTGGTACGTTCAACGTGGTATGACTGTTGACATTTGGAGGAGTTTTTCAATCATCTGAACTCGTGTCGCAATTTTCACTCTGTATTACTCCTGAAAATTGACCTAATTTTAATAATGATAAAATTATCGCTCACTATATTATATGCTGAGAATCAACATTTTCAAAATATTCCAGATTTCCGAGGCGATTATCAAAGCATGTAGCATACGACGATCATTATCGGTTAATATACAATCATTAATTAACTTAACTTCTGATCAATTTATTCTTTCGTCTAGAACCATTGAGTGACGATGATCTCGCCACGATGACAATCAGGAGTTGATTACATGACGAAATATAGGACGCAAGATGTAACGGCAACGAAACTTAAAATTTATACTTTTTCTCTTCTTTTTTGAATCTCCGAATCCTACCGACATTTCCAATGCGAATAAAGAAACTAATATAAATTATAGTGATATATAATGTAGATTATTAGAAAGGAAAGTTTGTTTTATTCATTCATCATATAATTATATTTATAATTATATTTATAATTTACCGTCTAATTTAGATTATTTAATATTTGATTATTATATTCTATCTGCAGTTAAGTAAATCAAATGATTAATATATTGTTTATTGAAATGAAGGGTAAATATTGAATGCAGGTAGAATATTGAAATAATTGAATATTAAATTATACTTAAATAAATCCTCGTTTAAAACGGAACAAACGACCAACATATGAAGTAACTATTTAGAGCATAAAAAAATCTGTGTAATGTAACACGTTGAGGTCCCCCATTGGTGTTTTATTAATTCGATAACATTTGCGGGATTAATAATATAGAACTGAAATTTTGATTCGGGTATATAGCAACAGCGTGACACAACCGCAAAATTTTATCTAGCGATATGTATTGAAAGAATCCTAAGAAAATGTAAATCATCACGAAAAATGTATTTAGAAAAGAATGAAAAAATTTGGTGTTAACAGCGTGCGATGTTCCCAAAACGGTTTCGGCATGAAAAGCCAATTATCTAGTTATCAATCCCTCCGTCCGCCATAAAACTCTAATAAAGGTCAGTTCTATGTATATACTAGAGCTCTACTTAAACGCGTGTCGGCATATCGATTGACGAGAAGTTGCGGTTGTGAATCGTTCAGTCTTCAGTCTTCGTGTGAAGTCGAAAGTACGCGCGCATTCTTTTTCGTGAGACACAGATCGTGTCACTTAACGCTTGTCAAAAAGTGGCAAATAGGTAATATACCCATAGACGTGTTACATTAATCGTACAGTGATGATATATTAATCGATAAAAAATTGAACGATTCAAGAAACCGAGAATATGTCCATACAATTTTATTACTATCCTCTGAGCCCACCTTGCCGAGCTGTGATGCTCACTGCGGAAGCGATTGGACTCGAGATAGAGCTAATAGAGCTGAACTTAATGGCTGGCGAACACTTGACACCGGAATTCGAAGAGGTAGATAAGAAACATCGATAATATCAGTTCTCGTATTATTTTTGGTATCGAGTCGATATCCGTTATTATTACGCATAAAACACTTCCTTTTTCCCGCAGTTAAATCCGCAAAAGACGATCCCTTTCATGGTGGACGACGATCTCAAGCTGTCGGAAAGGTCTGTGCTAATTATTGTAATAACATATCGCCATGTTTCGCGGTATTTATTCAGAAATAACGTTCTAGTCGAGCTATTATGTCGTACTTGGTTGACCAATACGGCGAAAATGACAGCTTGTATCCGCAAAATACGGAAATGCGTGCCTTGGTTAATCAGCGATTGTACTTCGATCTCGGCACGCTCTATGCTAGTGTATTCAGTTATTATGTGAGTATGTAATTAATTTTATACTCAAGAGAAACGCCAGTGTGTTGACTCCTTCAAACATCAATTGTTGCATTTTTAGAATTTATAGACATTTTAGAACGACACATCATATACAATTTCGGTTGCAAATATCAAACGTCAAAATTTAGGAGGAGTTACTACTCCAAAAGATCTTGTTTTTTTTTTTTATTAAATATTCTGAGGAAACAAACGTTAATCTGTCTTTTGTCGAGGTATCGAATTACTCTTCGATAAAATCATGCGAAAAATCATGCCGCGACTGCGATCACCGCGAGTTCCGTTGTAGATATCTGTGTTCAAAAAACTCACCGATACGTACGATCCAGCGGAATTTGAAAAGCTAACAGAGGCCTTCCGAATTCTGGATACTCTCCTCGAAGGACAAGAATACGTGGCTGGACCCAACTTGACGATTGCTGATTTTGCTTTGGTCACGTCTGTGACTACAGCAGAAGTAATTTTGACAATATTAATTACAATATCATAACATGAATAAATTGCTAAAATTAAAAAAAATAAGTTACAGTGGCGTAAAACACGTAGTGTGCAGTGGTGTAAGACATTTTTAAATTTCATTTCTTGGGATGATTTTATACGAGAGAAAATCATATTGCATTACTCGGTATATTGAAATATAAATGGAAACACTGTGTTTCGATAAAAACTGTAGTAATATTTTCCCTTTTAAATATGTAAAATTATCCTAAAACAGACAGAATATACGCGGATACTTGTTTCATCCACTGTACGCATGTACGTGCATTTGATCGCTGCGCCGACAACGTAAAACTTCACACTTTAAACTCACATGTATACGGCTCTATGAATTAATTTCATAATTTTAACTCTTCAAAAGTTTCCTCGCGAAGAGAATTCCGTTCCCGAATTCTGCAGCAAATCGCGAATCGCCTAAGGCGGATTTAACATAATAAGAACATTTACGAAACATTATGTAATATCAAGTTGATTGCACAAACATTATGAAATGATCATATTTTAGAACAAAATATAATAATAAATTATTGCATTTGTTCATCTTTGTATGATGTGTTATCTTGAATATTTTTAAGAAACAGCTTTCTACTTCACCAGAAATTCTATAAAATTAATTATTTGCTTCCCTCCAGCCTTGATAAATCAATTTGTTGTGTTTCAGGCTTTCGGGTTCGAAATGGAGGAGTATAAGAACGTTTCCGATTGGTTAGAAAGAGTAAAAACATCCGCACCTGGATATGAAAAGGCTAATGGTGAGGCAGTCGAGACATTTAAGCAAATTGTGCAAGAGTCACGAGGTAACGAAGAAGAAGGAAAAGAAGAAGGGGAAGAAGAAAAGGAAGAAGAAGAAGAGAAGGAAAAAGAAGAATCAGAAGGGGAAGAAGAAAAGGAAGAAGAAGAAGAGAAGGAAAAAGAAGAAGAAGAAGAGAAAGAAGAAGAAGAAGAAGAGTGAATGAATCAGTGAAACGAGTAACATTATATAAAAAAATATATTGTTTCAATCTTTAAATGCTCGAATATATTACATAAATAAATAAATAAAAATGGTTATATTGCTTTTTCACATGTTGTTACTAATTAAAAATCAAAATATATAGAATATACAGAATTTTAATTAAATCGGAATCGTTCTTATTCCCTAACAGTTACAGATTTATTATTTTATCATTCAATTTATAGTTAGCATATCGCACATAAAGTGGAGAAATTAATTGTTACTGCAATCAATCGTGTGTTCAAGTCAGCGTCAAATTAGTTTGCGTAAAGGTAAGAATCGCATGCGGGACTTATCTTGTTTTTCGTGTTGCTTTTATCATTATTTCTGCGCGTAATTTCAGCATGTAATTTTTTATTGAGATCTTTGCCGTTTAAAAATATAAGTCTGCGTGCCGACTGACGGCAAAGCAAGTTTCATATTGCTCTATTCTCAGTACATGGTATCATACAGACATTCTATGTATCGTGTGTCGGTTAGTAATCCACCGAAGACCGTAATCCAGTCAGAGTAGAAAATTCGAATGCAACGAATTAGGATACTTCGTTCTTTTATCAAGCAAGAAACACATTGTCGCCACTGAGCCCTGCTATTACATATATTTACGCAAATATTTATCGTTATCGACGCTCAACTTCATTTTCTTTCAACAAATGTGGTTTATTTAAAACGTTGCTTTATCTACACTGGAAACGTAGTTTCCAATTTAATGTGGTCACACGAAAATATTATTGTATATCTAAATTAATTTGAACGGTTTTTAACTTGTGTATAGATTTTATAGCAAGGATATACTTTTATCGACAATAAATTATTGCAATAAAGCAATATAAAAATATCCAGTATATGACTGCGTACTTACCGATGGGGTAATAATTTCTAGCGATGGATTACAAGTGTTCGTTGTTGAGTTAAAAATTTACAAATGGGCATACATATTACTAAACCGATTTTGTACTCGGAGAAATTTTTCTTCATTCAACGCCGGAGATCTTCTCTATATGGTTATATTTTAAGACTATACATTGTCTTCGCTCATTTGTCGCAGTAAAGTAAAATACGACATCGCAGTGCTCAATATCTGCAAACACGAATAATACGCATTATATCTCTCATTTTGCAATAAAAAATGGGCTTCCACTTAGATATTCTTAGCGGTTTCAAGAATAACTATAGTGAGATGCTCCTATCTTGAAAAACTATCGCGTTTTCGTTCTCCCACGAGAAGAGCGCTGAGTTAGTAGCTGCGGCTATGACGCATTGATGTGTTTTACAAGTGGGCGAAAGGATAAAGTGCGACTCGCATATAACATTCGCTCGAAAAAGCCGGACGGCGGGAGCTTCTTAAAACTTGCAGCGAACGAACTTTTTCCGCCGGGGAAGTTTTAAGCAAAGTCATTCGTCGCGTCGCGCACTTACCCCCGTGAAAGTGTCCAAGGACATCACCGCGAAATGTCCGGCGGTTAATGTGCACGGTCGACGTGCTCTGATCATGATCATAATTAGCCCTTTCCTCAACGCCATGCCCGGCCTCCTACCGGATAAGAGATACCACTTGGAGTTGTAAGCGGCCTCGGAGATGGCCGTGCTTTGCACAATTATGTCGTTACACGTCCACGTATAAATAAGTAGCTGGATAAGCCCGCCCACGAAGTGGAAGGCGAAAATACACTTCCTGATGGCCAGGTCCGCCGCCTGCGGACAAACGAGGACTGTTCCGGAGTGTGAAATAACGCGATTCTCTCCGCAATTGTCAAGTGGTCGAATCGCGTGACTCACTGTATAAATAAGGAGTGTATTAGAGGAAAATTTATTTGCGGTAAGACAATTGTCATAACAACTACACTCTGTGTAAACGTACCATTTTTCTGTACAATGAACGCTATTGAAAAACTTTCAAAGAAAATAAAGGAGAGTATAAAGGAGGGTATAAAGGAGAGTGACTGGATGACAAAAAAACTAGCGACAAGCGACGGATTGATTTCTCATGCGAAGATAAGTTTAAAATCGCGGAGCAATTAATTTTCGAGCGAGACTTTTCGGAAGAAATTAATTTCGAAAATTGGAAAGTTCGAAGTTTCGCGATATTTCAGGCTCGGATAATCTTCAACGATCTTGCGTTGCACATCGTCGAGTTCGTTCCGGGATAATTCGGGATAAAAAGTTTCTTAAAATTGAGCTTACGAGAAACTGGAAACCGCCAAAGCAGATGAATACGCTGGAGAGCAGCAATTGGCCGAGCAATATAACGGTGAACACATGTTGCATGTTATGTAGGTATTGTATGAGCACGTAATGCTGCCGCACACAATCCTGCAATTAGTGACCGGTGAATTAACTTAAAAGCTCCACCGTGAAAATTTTGAAATATTGAGTCGATCAGATAGTTCGACTCGATTTGCAGATAATGAATATACAAGTCAAATACGAGTGATAGTAATTTTTACTGAAATAATTATATCGAAGAGTACCGAATTTTCAATGGTGATATTATGGGGCCCCTACGTAAGTTTAATTCGAACTTTCTAACTGATTTAATAATTCTCTAGTGCGCGAAGACCTTAATCGCTTCGAGTATTATTAAACGTTTCGAGCCTTTCTCATTACCTGCAATCTCTGTGACGTCAAAGCGACAACTTCCGCTTCCGAGGGGCTCTTCTTGTCGCCCGTTGCACTTTCGACACAACTCTCGGCGACAATCTCCACCTTGTGAGCCAAGATCTTCAGCTGCGCGGCGGTATGGATGTTGAACGTGCTCACGAAATTATCAAAGCAGAAAGTGCAAATGCCCGAGTGTATCGTCGAGAGTGACTGCAAGAATATCATCGATGTAATTTCAATTTTCTACGATTAAATCACGATTGAACTACGTCGTTATACTTCCTTCCTCACCTGTATGGTGTAAGTGACTTCGTAGTACGGCGAATAATACGGAAACTCGATCCACAGTTTGAACGGCAACATCCTTTCCGTCTCGTTCATTCCTTGAGGCTCTGCCGACAAAAATACAAATCTGTTTTAATACCGCGGCATGTCGCTTCACACGTGCGCAACAGAATTTTCGCCGATGCAGAAGCGAAACTGTACCGAAGAAAGGCGCGAAGATGTAATTGAAGGTCGCGCAGTAGACGATGAACATAAAAGTGTAGGTCAGAGTCATCCCTAGCTTCTCGTATTCCTCCAGAATTCCAGCATCAACCTCGTCGTAGGTGATCCCCCAGAAATTTTTCTCCGCGAAACGAATCAGTTTCATCACTTCGTCGCGGTAGAACATGAAGCTACCCAGTTTCACCAGTATCATTATCAACAGCAACGTCGCGCATAAATTCGACGTGACGGCCTGCGGGTAATAAAAATGGCCGAGACGAGGTAACGAAGGATCGCTTGGCTGTCACTCACGTAAAGGTCGTCTATGCAGTGATACAGATCGACACCCTCGACGAGAATGGCGAAAAGGATCGCCGAAACGGCGTAGCCGAACGCGACGCGCAGGAGCAGCCGTTCCCGAGGTGTCTCGACGTACCAGAGACCGACCATTTTCATGAAGAGACGCGTGATAGTCACCGTCCGGTACTCCTTATTTCCTGTCATAGTGCACCTCGTGATTTTCTTCCTGCGCGCGGATCTAAGTGCATCTGAACTGTCTCGATGTAAGTGGAGGCCCATCACGTTAACCGGCGGGAAAATTGTTGCGCGCACTTACCCCGACTCGAACCGGTGACAGGCTGCAATCATATGTGTCTTGCTCGCGATCAATCGGTGCATTAACTTCGATCTTTGGCGGACAATGTGTCTCGCCTGCTGTCGCGTCACTCAGTGGTTATCGTTAATTGGACGTCTACTCGCGATATACGAGGACTCATATGTGACGAGGCATACAGTAAAGTCTCTCTCGATTGACGGAGTGAGATGGTGCGTACCATTGGAAGCGACATGAGTGTCTCGACCCCAGCTCGGAGTCAGCAGTGTGCGCAGAAAAATGGAATGGTTGTGCAAGAGAGAATTATACCAGCAGTTGCAGAGAAAAGACAACGAGGTCCGTTTGGATCGCGGTTGTTGAAAGAAAATGAAAATAAATATAGACAAGCAAGTAAGCGACCAATTACGTATGTGTGTTCTTTCGGTAGGTAATTCTATTAAAGTTCACTTGATTATTAACTCTCGCGCACAATATTAACATTATATATTATTATTAATTCTTGGCCGTTCTTCTTACTATAGTCTCCGCGAAAGTATATATACGCGTGTCAATGTGTACACAATGAGAAAAATAGTATTTACACATACTTCCCTTCTTGTCTGAATCGAAATATTTTCTGATCTGAATATCTTCCTAAGTGTCTCTATTCTTCGACGAAAAAATTACGGAGCAAGGTGAAGTACGAGGCCGCGGTGCTCATCACCTGGAAAAAAACAAGATTCGGGAGGTGTGTTAAAATGTATTTATCTTGCTTTAAAAATTCACTTCACCGCCATGAAAGTCTCGAGGGAGACCGGGAAGAAGCCACCGGCAGATATGGAGCAGGGATGCATGGATCGCACCATCATCATGAGAATGGCATTTCGGATGCCTCTGTTATCCCGATGAGACAGGACCTCCCAATTGGCACTGTACGCCGATTCCCCGATCGCGCGACTCTCGTCTAGCAAATGCTGCGCCGTGAACGTGACCACGAACAATTGGCAGACGCTGCCGTTCGTGTGAGCGATGAATATCAACCGTCTGACCAGGGTACCGCGGGACTTTATTAACCAAAAAATTAAAGCGAGCCACACCGTTAGAGTCTCAGCAAAACGGTTGACTTGTAATTCTAGGACAATATTTCATAGAACTGTTTGCCATCAACCACAGACAGAATGGCTTTTTAGTTTAAGACACAAGACGGTCATAATCGGCCATTCTGCCAAGAGCCTTACGATCTACCACCTTCTCTTCCACCGCTTTCAGTTATCTGACACTTCTAACGACTTTTTGCGTTTTACTATCATAGTGAGAAAGAAAAACTAAAGCCAACAATACACGGTGTTTCCTAGTGAGCACCTGCCCAAATATTATCTTTCGGTCACGTATATACTCACTAAAAACATTTGAAAGCCTGCTACGCATATCATGACACTGGATACCAATAGCTGGCAGAGAGTCGGATACATGAATAACTTTTCCATTTTCTCGCTGTACCAGATCAACTCTTGATGCTGTAAGACGCATTCTCGGACTTTTTCGTGTATCACCTGCTTGGTTTTCTCATCGAGCGACTCCAAGGTACCGGCCTGTCCGAATCTCTTCAATAGTGTTTCCAAGCGATGCTGCAACAGTTTAAAGTGGCCGGCACTGTGCAGATTCAGCAGACCCAAGAGATTATCAAAACAACAGAAGCATATACCCGAATGAATAAGCGCCACCATCTGTAAAATCATATATTTAACAGAAGAGAGTTTATTTAACATTTTGAATGGCTATGCACGAATGATATAGACGCTAACACACTGAACTTTTTATTTAACAATTAATACGTATTTCGTAAAAAGATTTCATGATTGTTTCGTTTTACGGCCAAAACGTCCCGAACGGGAAGCGCGGAATACGCAACAGGAAGCGTATTAATAGAAAATAAAAAAAATCGTCTAAAAGACTAATTTAGAATCAAAGAAATATATCTTGAACGAACAAAACTGGAGAGAAGACATTTTATTACCTCGAAAACAAATACTATTTCAAAATTAGGCGAGACGTGCGTGTCGATTCCGACATACCAATTAAAAGTGTGAACTCTCTCGCTTGCGTTTTTTCCCCTATTTTCTATAAAAAATGTAATACAAAAGATAAAATGCGGCGTAGCAACGCTAATGTAACGATACCAGAGTTGAGCATTGTTCGAATAATTCGTTCAAATAATAAGATCTGCCGAACTCTGCCGATCTGAGCAACACCACGAACAAGATCGCTAAATTACGACTTGTATGTTCTATTCTTTATTGAGCAATGTAGTTTTAATTATCATCAGGATACCAATTATGGGAGTCAGCATGTAGGTGACAACTGTTCCTTGAACGAAGAACGTAAACGTGCACATTAGAATCATCCCCTTTTTATTGATATCGTCCATAAGTTTCCTGCCGTATTCGTCATATTGCGCGTACCAGAATTTATTCTGCGTGTACTTCAGCATCCCCAGCATTTCTTCCCGATGAGATAGGAAAAAAATGATTTTCAGCAGAATTATAACTACCGGCATGCTACTGCAGGCGGTGTATGTGATGGCCTTGAAACGTCCAATATATTATAATATTCAGAAATTGATTATTATCATTTTTTTTTTATTATTCGATAGATAGAGAAGAGATATCGCGGTACTTACGTAAAAATCACCTATACTAAAATAGAACTCGGTTCCTTCTATCCACAGGGCTAAGATGATCGCGAATATCGTGTAGCCCAAAATACCCTTCAATACGCGCTCCCCGGTTTTCGTCTCGGAGGTCCAAAAACCGATGGTCCACATGAGAAATCTCGCCATCCGCATCGACGCGTAGTCCTTTCTCGTCGTCATGCTCGTTCTTCGCCGACCGTCGCTTCTGATCGTTACGCCGTACATTATCGCAAACGGCAATGATAGATATAGCGATATGTAATAACAGGCATTCCCGCGGCGATTGTAGCGTGATCGAGTTATTTCCCCCTCCTCCCTCTGTTACCTCAACCTATTATCACGTTGTAAGAGGGATCTCCCGTCTTATTACAAGGTACACACCCTTCGTTCTTTCTCACGGATAATGCATGCGATGTCAATGTACTCGTGTGCAATGTACCTGCTCGAGGAAGCCCGCGATCGGCTCGGAAGCGTTTTTTTTGCGGAACAGGTGGGAACGCCTTATTACAGGACGTGCACTTTTCGCTCTTTGTTACAGGTGTTGCGCTCGCCATATTCTCAGGGAGGGTTCTTCGAAGGAATCAAAACCGGAAAAGTGAGCAGAATACGCATGCGCGTCGCAGTCAGAGAAATCGCGAACGAACGGACGGTCGGCGATCGCTGCCCCTAGAGTATTCTTTTCACAGCGATAGCGCGACATTAGCGAAGTTTCATCAGCTATTTCGTTTCCCTCGAATCAAAGTGTGTGTTTCCTAAAACATATCAATAATTGTAACCTAAAGGTTTTCCTCCCCTGAAGGGAAGAAAAATTTACACTGTTATTTAGTTTAGCGAGCGCTCGGTGAAGCGAAGCGTTGCGCTGCACTTCATACCAATGTTGAGGAAAAAGTTATGAACGATACGAAGTATATCCAAACTACTTTAAAGCAGCGACTTTCGAGGTAAGAAATGGAAACTCATTAAAGAAAATCAATTTACGTGTCGTGAGTTTAAAGTTGATTTCGTGTTGTGCGGCGATTTTTGCGCGCGCGAGGAAAGAGGACTCGAAATATGATTCGCGCGAACTACATCCCCCGAGCAAGAATTCCGAATTATTTCCCGGATATATACGCGGACATTTTCGGTCTATTTTATTGATACCATGCCGATTCGCGAACCTGAGGCACACGAAGAGAAAATCTAATTTATTTCGACGTATATTGCGGGACAAAGGAATTTACACGATTTTTGCGCCTGGCCGATGTCGGTGTGGCTGCAATAAGGGGGTTTAATTAAAAAAGACCGCGGGCTCGTTTCCAGGCTTAACAAATCTCACAGACGGGAGCAGGAATGTCACGAGTACGCGGGAGAGCATACGGTAGAGGTATTTTATTGTATTATATTTTCAATGTCTTTTTTGAGAAAATACGTATACTTATACTCGCAACTCGGTACACTTCAACTACGTGGGGACGCGATTCGGCGTTATCGCGGTCGCCCGCTGCGAGAAACGTCGAATGTGGGGAGGACTGAGAGGGGGAGAAATGAAGTTTTATTGCTACTTCGAACAAGTGGTGGACAAGAGAACGTGCAGCCGGGCGTGAGGTAACGCCGAATCGTGCGCTCTTCATGTTGTTTTACATACGATCTATGTATATATGTATACTCAAAACATACAACAAACGAGGACTATCTCTTACTCGTGGTACTTACGTATTCGGCTTAACGTTACGTTATTAATCTTTTTATTTTTTTTCCGTTACCCTCGCCGGTGTAAGTAAAGGAGAGCGGGGAGGCATTCGGTAACATCTTCGATTGGTACATTACATACATTACATTCTCCGGTACGACGCTAAATACTTGTCGACTTCGTTTGCAATCATTTCCTTACCTAGTATGTTTCTATTATTTCATTGTTATACAGATAACGCGTTGTTTATCCATATAACGCGTAACCCGTCAAAACAAAATAACGAGAACCAAAGGATGGACGTGTGTGTTTTCGATGTTACGTAGCTAAGAAGATTTAACATCTCCGGGTATGTTCCATTGTACCAAAAGTGAGAGAGAGAGAGAGAGAAAGAGAGAGAGAGCTTCGATCGAATCGCCCGATGTTTGATTTTCATCGGTAACATGTGCAACGAAAATATCAATCTGCAGCTGTGATGCTCACCAAGGTGTGTATGTGCAGGTTTTCGAAAGCGATATTACACGAAGAAAAATAATTTTGTTATTGTAGCGAAATCAAATTGTTGTTGCTACTGCATATTCGTTGTGATAGCAAATAAAATTTAATTGGCATAACCAAATTAGCGAGTTATTCGTAATTACAGCAGAAACAATTTTGTTGCCAAGATAGAAAATATTTTGCTGAGTAAATTTGTCCTTAGTACACGTTAATTTGCCGTTAGAACAAAATAATGTTTTCCTACGTTTATTTATTCGTTCCTACAGCAAAATATAATTTATAGATTCAGCAAAATAATTCAACGAGTGGCAATTAATATCCTTGACAAACCATATAGTAACTGACAGATTTTGCTATGACAGTATAAAATTTGTCGTGCCAGCAAATTATCTTTCTCCGTGTAGATTTCTTTACGACGTGACGTTCATTATTAAGTCGATGCGAACGGTTCGTCGTTCTCCTGTCGGGTTCTATTTTCACAGAATTATCGAATCGAAGTTTTTTTCCTTTCTTTTACTAAAAAGTCGAGAAACTTTTCCTTTACATGGAGGAAACGCATCGAAGTTACCGACAAGCGTAATATACGAAAAGAAAATTGAATCTTCATCTACATTTCAACGAACGTTAAACAAGACCAGGTTATACCTTTCGCAACGATCTAACAATTTGCGGATGCGCCACGCGTGAATTTTCGTGATGCTTTTATACCGAAAGAATGCGAAGAAGGTGTTGGTACGTATGTATAAAACCGTCCTCATCTCGCAGCTACGCGAGCGCTAGCAGACGTGCATTTCCGATATATCTCGACGTGAAAATCTTGTCTACGTTCCGACAGGCCGATACCGCGAAACAAACACGCACGTATGGCTACTTCGCGCGTCGCTAATAATATCAATGATCGTAATTACATTCTATCAATTAAACTCGACCTGCGCGAAGGCGCGAGATTATTACGATGTAAGAATAATAACCGGGGAGTGTGTGTATCCTGCGCGCGATTATAAAAATTGTACAACGGAACGCCGCTCTTATATCGTCTATCGAGAAAACGTTAGTTCTCGTATTATCGCGCCTTCACTCTCGTATCTCACGCGCTTATCAGAAAAATAGGCTTACGACGACGGATTAACCTTTAAGCGTCGGCTTCAGATCCCCATGTGATCGCGGACTCTCGGATATATTAATTCCTCGCGGAATTAATTTTAGACGGTATCTTCGCTCGTCCCGATGCATCTCGCAAACTATTCACGACACGTCGATCAGCACGCTTCGTATAAAAGATTTCTGATAAAGGTAATGGAACTCCTCAACAGTCACGGACGGACACGGTCGAAAGAGGTTTCGGTGTCGACGGAGCGTATTCGTCATACGAATACCTTTCGCATCCCGCCCATCTCCGCTGGTGATATCTTGAGAAGAAAGAAAAAATGTCTCTCCCATAGCGCGATGTCCTACCTTCGAATTATCGCCGCTGCAGTTTGCGGTCCTTTCATCATTTGCACGAAATGTTTTCCGATATTTCGCGAGTCGAGGGGAGACGAGACACATCGAGAAGTTATCTTCTATCTTACCTCGCTACCCTTTGGCCACAACTGAAAATCGCTCCTTGTCGTATATAAAATTTCTTTATAATATGTACACACACGTACGCGCGGGATAAGGCGTGGACCATTCGAATAATTGAATGTTTTACTCTTCTCAAATCTGAAAGTATCCGCACTGCTCGAGTAATGCAAGGCGATTAACGACGTATTTAAATAGTGTATTGCGAGACAAGTGGATATGTAAAAAAGATTAGATCTCGAGACCTATAAGTCTAAAATTAAAATTTATAAAAGGGGGATCTCTCTATGCATTAGGAAACCTTCTTTTTTTTCGTCATTTTCTTTTTTACAGATATTTTTTTTATCCTAATCCAAAGTGTATTCAATTGTTGCGGATATTCAGATACTTGAGCGGCGATACTAATAATATTCGAATGTTTAAATCGTATTCGATGATGATCCGAGTTATTGTGCTCTTGAAATATTCGATTATGCAAAAGTCGCCGTCCAGTTCCAGGCCTGATGCAAAGTTCCGCCAACTGTCATCCTCACGAAAGAAACTTTCGAAGAGCCGGACGTTTTGCTACTTATTCTTCCCATACAAAACACTTGTTAGTAAAAATTGAAAAAAATATATATAGAGTCATCTCCCTATTAGATAACCTATCCTAACAGTGTTGTCTAAAAAAGCCGATCTTGAGCATAGAATCCTTAAAATTATCGCCGTGATCCAGGCGATCAGGGTATTTCAGAAGTTCCACTTGGAACTTTCATGTGGATGACAGTCAAAATTCTGAATTTTATCGTATCACATACAAAAGCCCGCTTTAGACGATCTACATGTTCCGTCTGTGCGTCACGTAACACAGAAAACACTCGACAAATTGCAGGACAAATCGCAAGGACATCTCACACGATACGCATCTATGAATCTCTTTGTCGGTTTTCTGCGTTACACCACGCAGCGTTCCGTCACGGATGTCGTCGTGAATCATTAATCGTCCGAAACGGGCATCAATGATCGCGATCAACGTCTCTTCGTACGGTAAGCATCCACGACGTTTAAAGATTAATCGGTGAGCAATCGCGGTGAAGAGTCTCAGCATAAATATTCGAGGAGTGCGTAACATATATACTTCCTTCTGTACGATAAAGGTACATTTAACACACACACACACATACGCGCGGCAGTTACGTGTCCTAAAGGATTAAACGCTCACAAAAACGTCGGGCTCACTATTATTCTCGAAACACGCTCACCGACACGCTTCGATTTCGAACGCGGCTTAATTGTCGGATATCATCGTAATGACTGAACGTGAAAGTGGTCGTAGTGGTGGAAACCGATTAACAGGTAGAAACATCGTTATGATTTAAGCTCGCAGTATCTTGTAACGCAGTTTGTCTCCCTGACAGACATCTGCCAGCGATATTTCTCCCGACGTGTTTCTCACACGCAAAGATTCGAAACTCGATATTAAATTCGTCCAAGTGGAAGCATAATATTTTTTAACGACTCACCCTTTTATCGTGGTTGACGCGAGATCGCGGCTTTTCGAACACCATATTATTACGTGACAACAACGTGATAAGAACTACGTACTGGCGGCAGAACTCGATTGGATATAAATTAGGGCCGTAAACGTTCGTATGATCGCGCCGACAATTCGAGCAAATTTCCGAGAGAAACGTGTGCAATTGAATATATATCAAAGATTCGAATATAAAATTATACATACTCTGTATTATATTGATTAGTTTATTCTATTATTTACGGATAGTTCGTGCGTTGGATCAATCAGAAACGTTACAAATATTTGATAAATATGCGAACACTGCGGCGTGAATTCCAAGATGAGTGCACATACAAATCATAATTCAACTCGAAAACAACGCTCGAAGTGTTTCATCTCAAATTCCAGCAAATACCCCGGATTTTACGGCCCTAATACAAACGCTTCTCTTATGCGTACTCATTACAACGGTCCTTTGCACTTATCTAATTTACAAACGCGACGGCTCTAGAAGCTGTTAAGGAGCTAATGATAAGACGCCTCCCAGTTAGCGGCAACTTGTTCCCGAAGCGTCGCGCGACGAGAAGTCAGTCGCTCGTCGTTAACAGCCTCGCAGCGTAATCCTCTAAACTAAAGCCTCTAAAAGTTACAAAAGCCCGCCAAGGTGTGCGCGTACAAAAGGTACACCGCGACGAAGATCGAAGATGGCAAATAGTCCATTAACGATTTACAATATGAAGGAGATCCTCGACGAAACGATGGAGTATATGTGTGTCTGCAATAACAATGTGTAGCAGTAATAGATACATAGTATATATAATACGTGTACATACAGACACAACGCGGGTAGATTTAATTTTTACATGTGTATGCTACGTGTGTTGCAATATTCATTGCACGCGCGCAGGTATACAGTTGCGATTGTGTTGCCGGAAATCGATATAACTCCGGTGCGTTCAATTGCCGATGCTGCAGGCACAGTGAACTCGTTAATCTCGCTCGCTAATTGTCGCGAGCGAACACGGAGATGACAAATCGCACCTCTCCAGTCGTGCTCGAAGGAAAATTCCGACAAATTCCTTTCGAAAGAGATCTCAACGACTCCCGAAAAACTTGAAAGGGGACTTCCGTTCGCGAACGAGAGAATTATTACGCGTGAACAAGATTTCGCATTTGCATGTAAAATCGGAGAAAATGCCGTTCGAATGAAAATTTACTCGAGTAACGCCTGACACGCGCGTTGACGTCGGTCTCCTCCTTTCTACTTTTATTATCATCGTCACACCTAATCGCCACCGCGAGATTGGCCATAGATATGAGAATCGGGATAGCCCCGGCCGCCTTATAATAATTCATACGTCTTCGTTACTTACGATTCTCGCCTCGTATAAAAACCTTACGAAAATAATTGCTCTATCGTAAAATCCGACAATTCGCTTACGACGTTACCCCACCATTCTCTTTACAGCTACAAAGATTCAAAGTAATCCCGCTCTTTCTCGGGCAAAACCGCCCTCCTGCTAAATCCCTAAAGCCGATCATCGGCCCTTAAAATGTAACGACTGGCTGATACAACAGCGTGCGAAAATCCCGCGGTCTCATCGGATGTCAATGGACAAAATACGCTCTTGCTTTATCGTCGACGGGCTATTTCGTTCGAAGCGAGCACGCGATAAACGTCTCGCGGCTTCAGAAAACTATCGTACTTATCCATCAGGGCAAATTTCGCTCTGCAAACCCGACGGACAATCTCGAGAAGCTAGCGCTAACCGTGTTACATTGCGCGGAATCAAACCGGCTCTTCAATGATTGTAACTTCCAGATAACACGAAGATACAAGAGATGTCTGTTAAAGGATGAGGCATCTCTAAGGTCCCTCGGACGTTTCCAAGATATCTTATGTTGCAAAGTGTGAGAAACGACGTCGCACGGAAGAAAAACTAACTCGGCTGTTATTTCCGTAAGTGAATACACGCACATGGTTCGTAACCTTAAGTACACAGTGAATTGCTCGCCCGCACACGGAGGTAGTATTTGCAAGGATTCGATTATCCATTAGCGCCCCACACACATACAAAAGTACACACGTATACACACACATATGCGCTCGACGCTCACAAAATAACGTTTTCCCGATTTCCTCCGTTCAAGGCTCTCAATGTCCTGTTTACAGGACAAAAAGGATCGTCAAGGATCCGGTCGGGAGAATAAACGTGACGATGAGTCGCGACTCGTAACCTTGCGTGGGACCCACCCTTTTCGTCCGGGGCGCCTTTCGACCGGAACTGCGTTGGAAAATATATCGCCCTACTGTACAGTTAGAGTGCACCTTCGATCTCGAAATGCCGATTCGTTCGATCAAAATAGCTATTTTGCCATCCGCGCGCGAAATTTATTCTTCCGCAGCGACCGTCATCGGTCTGTCCGCTCGATGAAACGCGGAGTGGTGCACTTTGCCCTCTTAATTACGCAACCGCTTCGTCGAGTGTCGCGCGACTAATTGTCTCCCGTGACGGACGGAAGAGAGGGACAACGTCGCTCCGCCCGTACGAGCCGACAATATCGTCATCGTCGCGCTAATTACACACTCGACACGAGGAGGAGAATACGGCGCGTTACACTTAATTGGTACACTCAACTAGATCTGTTCGAAACGGCGGACATATCTCGGCATGCAGGAGAAATCCGTCTCCTCGAGATCAGGAAGCCGAGCGCGCCCCCACAAAAGCAGCGAGATCCCCTCTTAACTTAATTACTACAGAGTATATTACAAATACGTAGTGGCTACATTGTGACAAAATCCAGACAGCGATGTAACGACGACGACCGTCCCGTGGTCTGATTTTCGGGGAAGGTCTTCCCACCTTTCTCGCCTCGTTCGACCCGAGTAACAATCGTGTCGGTCATCCGCAAGATGACCCGGAAATCTCGGACCGGCGCTTCGTCGGGGCCGCAAAGGAGGACCCACCGCGGTGGTGACATCTTCCAGTTTGTTCGGCCGGTTGAATCGTAAGTGCAATCACACGGACCGCGATTACACGCCGGTGTGGTTGAATATGTAAGAGACGTTGCTGTCTTGATGGACCGGCGGCCCGTGCCAGGCGCGTCTCGTCGACGAGTTGTTGTTGTTGTTATTGTTGTTGTTATTGTTGACGTAGTACGAGGACTTGCGCATGCTCGTAGAGGAGGACATCATCGCTACGGTCTCGTAGTACCTGAGCTTGCCGCAGCACCGGCCGCTCTTCAGGATCGCGATGAAGCCGCGCCGGTACTTCTTGTTGAAGAAGGCGTAAAGGATCGGATTGATGCAGGAGTTGCTGACGCCTAACCACTGGGCGATCGGCGTGACGATCGGCAGGATCTCGTCATCGCGCTCGGCCACATCGCCGCCCAATTTGATCACCGCGAAGATCACGTAGAGCGGCAGCCACGAGAGTACGAAGAGTATCACGACCACCACCAGCATCTTGACCACCTTCACCTTCGATTTCTGTTGTATCCTTTCCATCTGGGCGTCTTTCGTGTCGGTAGGTATGTGCCTGCGCCACACCTTTATCCATATGAGGATGTAGCAAAGGGATATGAGGATCATCGGCAGTACGTAGCAGAGCGTCAGGTTGCCGATCAGGAAGAACAACGAGCCGTCCTCGGGGTGCGGCCACGTTTCCAGGCAGAAACGCAGGTTTGGCTCGTCCTTGTAAATCGCGACCAGGTCGAAGAACAGCAGCCACGGTGACGTCATTGTCAGGGCGATGAACCAGATCACGACGATCATCACGCGAGCCCGCCGTTTCGTGATCTGACACTTTAGCGGCCACCAGATCGCCAGGAATCTGAAATGTGAACAGACCAGATGTTAGTAGGATGTCTAACGAGCATAACGTAATTGATTAAACGGGCGAGTCGACATACAATGTCGTTTGAACGGATTTATCCAAAGGCGGCCTACTTTGGGGCATTCATTTCAACCTGGGGATATCATAATAAAGATCAATATAACACGATTTTCTTCAATCAATCTACATTTCATTCTTCGAAAAATTCACTTTTTCAAGATTATGGAAAGAGTCGCAGCGAACCTTTAAATCGTGATATTTACATTTTATAAAAAATTATATTAATAGGAGTATGTGAATTCGAGGCAATCCACTTGTCCTGCTAGAGCTTTCCTATCGCGAAGGGGTCTCCGAAGGAGGCGAAACAATGAAGGCCCCGGTTATTAACAACTTCGTCAACTTGGCGTACGCAGGAAATATTTGCAGATTAGATAAACGTCTGATTGATTTATTCGTATCGTTTGGCGAAGAATGTGGAATGGGCATTTTACGGGCGGAGACAGGTTCGCGACGCCTACGCCGCGCGAGAAATCGCGGTCTTCCAACGCTGCGGCATATTTTTACGTCTCTCTCGTATGTGGACTGCCGACGAAATATTCCATTCGCTCTTTCGAAAGACACTCGCGCCTGTTACGCTTCGGCGACCACGCCACGGGCTGAAAGGTGTGAGAACAGATATACAGGGAGCACCTTTTATGCGAGTTCCCGTTCTCGAACTGTTCCTCTTTCGCGAGCCACGTAGGAGAAGCTCGGCCGAACTGGCGCTCGGAATTCCGGACCTCGAATTGTGCTACTTATTTATGAAGCCGTTGTCAAAGCGTAACTTTTATGTACGGAGAGATAAAGACACGAGGAGAGAGAGAGAGAGAGAGAGAAAAGCGTCTTAGTGCATCGAATATTGCGTAGGAACAAGATAATTATTCAGTAAATTCCCGAGTGCCCACGCAAATCGTAGGAGCGCGAGCTAAAAAGCTGTATAAATCGCCTTGAAGCGGTAGCGACAGGCGAACCATCGATCACGATGGCGACGACGTCGCGGTGTCACAAAGTGGAGGAGAAAAAAAGAGAGAGAGAACAATGCTTTCTCCATGGAGCCTTATTAATTTCGATAAAACGAAGATTTGTTCGTTGTGCACGGATGAACCCCTACATCTCATTCGTTATTTCGAAATGTGAAATCCGCCGGTCCCGCAAAGTTCGTCCGAGGAGCGCGTAAGAAGGACTCTTCTCCTCATTAATTAAACAGCCCCGGCGTGCACGACGACGGGGAACGCTTTCTCTCGATGATCACCTCCCGCCTCGCGGATTCCGATCAGCGGAGATTCATTATGCCGTTCGTCGCGCTTCGTACTCGCGGATTTTTGCCGCGCGATTACGAGCGCTATCCTTCTCCCTGTTATCGGCTTCGACCGTCTTTGCCGTCCTTCGATGAATAAAGTTTAAATACTGTCGCCGTCGGCACTCTCGGCTGACCTTCCATAAATCAATGCGGCCGATACCGATCTACGAGCGTTCTCACGGAGCGCGCGCGCGCGCGCCACTTCCGATGATACGTGTGTGTGATGATAATGCCGCCTCCTCTGAGCGAGCCGGCTTCGTCGGCGTCCCCGTCGGGTGATCGAAAAAATCGCTAACGCGGAAATCTGGCCCCTCCAAGGCCGATCATGGGCCGCGCAGTGGGGCGAAACAGCACAATGAGGTGTTCGCGATGATGATCCCGTGTAGGGTATATAAAGGGATCGATTTCCCGTGGCTGCAAAACGCCGATCTCTATTGTCTGCCGCGTGTTCGCTAGCGGGAAAGCTGATAAAACGTTTAACATGTTCAAGCTGGCAAGTATATCCGCTGCGTCCGAGGATTCGTGTGCCGCGCGTGCATATGTGGGTCTGTGCGTGCGTCCAATTTAGTTCCGGTCGGGAGACACTTCCGCGACGTTAATCCTTGAGCACTGACGGCGGTACGCTGGCTTCCCGCGGAATTTACGACGCAAACGAATCGAATATTATCGTTGTTGGGACATTGCGATAAATAACAGAGCACTGCTTTACACGTGCACGCGATGTAATAATTGGGCTGTCGAGTGCACCCGGTACTAACGTTATACGAAAGTACACCCCCGACCGCTGGTTTTTCTCCCTCTTTTTGTTTCAATAAACGCGTTTGTACGGACGGTGCGTTTTCGCTCGGCACATCCGCCGAATTCGCTCGCTCGCTCGGAGTGCAATAAAACACTTGGACTTGGGCAAACAGAAGTGCTCAATCAATCAGCACTGTGTAATCCTTTTTCGGAACGGTTACATCCAGCGAGAGCAAAAGTTATTGCGAAACAATGGCGGATGCCGTTCATTAATCTCGATGTGTTCGTAAAAAAGAGACCCCGTGTTCAACGAGCGAAATCACGGGAGCCTAAGAAAATCGTGAAGACCAAGTATCTCATTAATAAAAAGGAAGTTGCACGATGCTCCACCCCAATTTAAGAGCGATTTAAGAGGAAAACTTTGTTAAAAAGGCTGCGATCGCACAGTAAAAATATATTAAAAAACCTAAAAATCAAAAATGTGGGAGGCTAATATAGAGTGTATCGAAATTAATGAACAGGAGTTTAGATAACGTCGAAATCGAAGCACCGTCGCCCGTCGTTCATCGAAACTTTGGCGACGCGCGGATAATTGAATTATCATAAAAACACGGCAACGTTATCGTCACGATAACGTGGATAGAGAGAGAGAGAGAGAGAGAGAGAGAGAGAGAGAGCGGGCGAGAAGACGGGGTGAGACGGGGATGGCGAATAAAAAAGATCGACGCTCGTTCTTGGCACGTGCGACCGCCTCGGGGTGATTAATTAGAGCGAGGTGATATCGAGTTGGCCGGTCGGCAAAAAGCGGGCCGATCAGCCGTCGCCGACGGTGGCGGGGTTAAATGTCTCTCCTTCGACTCCCCCCTCTCCCCCCTCTCTCTTTCTCTCTTCCTCTATTCAACGTACTCCCGACATTTTTCATAACGTCCGTAAGAACCACGAACCGTAGGATAAGAGGAACGAAGAATGAAAACGAACTGGCCAGCCGTACGTGCAATTTCGCGACGCTTTTCCGATTTTCAAGAGCGCAATCGAGCCTCAATTTCTACCGCAGATCCTCGTGATTGCTGCCGCAGTGGTTGCGGCCACGTGTGCGCCGACACCGGCACCAGGACCTGGGCCGTTACCCGGACCACTACCGGGACCGTTGCCGGGACCGTTGCCGGGACCGTTGCCGGGACCGTTGCCGGGGCCGTTGCCGGGGCCGTTGCCGTTACCAGGTCCGGGACCTCTCGGGGCGCCGATAATAGGACCCTATCCGGTAGTCTACCCGCCGGCATACTTAAAGGCTTACCCGTATTACTTGGCGTATTACAACGGCTACAAGTGGATCCATCCGGGTTCGCTCTACGTCTACTGACATCGATCTCCCGGGACATTGAGGAGACCGCCGGCACCGACACGGGTATCTTCGCTTAGTACGGGACTCGCCGCAACGCGCCAAATGATTCTGTACCGTGGAACGTCCCCCAAATAAAATATGCTCTTGTCGCAGACACCGCAGTGTGCTCGAACTACGACGACGACGACGACGACGATTTTCTCTTCCCCCGATTCCCCTCTCTCGTTTCACCGTCGCCGACGTCTATCGCTAATTTCGCCCCGCGAGAGAGGATCCCTCGTCGGGGAGTTTGGCAAACTCCGCGCTATCGAGCGAGCCATCAATTCCGTACGTTTGTGTTACGGCGGAATTTATGAAACAATACGCATTATACCGCATAATCGCGCCGTTCGCGGCCAGTAATTCCGTTCCCACCTATATTATCTGTCAGCGATCCATTTTCGACACGTTGGATTTTAGTTTCATATTCTCCCTCTCTTCCTCTCTTCGCAGTACGTATATATTACTCGTAATAAATAATTCCGGATAAATAATGCATGGGAAATTCGAACGTGAAAATGTCGCGGAACAATTTTTGCGTAACCACAGCGACGACGAGATATTTTTTTGATCAAGCGACTATCATACAACTGTTAAGGCACGATAATTTCATTTCACAGCTGGAATTCTCTCGCTGTTCCATTTACCCAAGAGTCTCGATTACCTCATTTAACCTTGCACGCGATAAGTGATTTCGGGGCATCCAGTTTCGGCCGATAATGAGTTAAGGGTGAAACTTCGTGTCCAAGTTGATACGAATCTGCAGGAAGTCGTGAAAATTCACCTTATCCACCGTGCAAGATATATACAGGGGACGAGTTAGCATACTAATGCGCCAACATACAGTACACGCTCGCCTGATAAAGGATATTACGGCGACAAAGCACAACCGTATCGGACGACTCCATTACTATTATCCCTTTAAGTTTATTTTGGGGAGGAGAAACCAACGTGATAACGTATTTCACGCGATATGATCGGACGATGTAACGGTTGCCAGTTTACACGCGCCGCCGGAGAGTGCACCTCCATTTTACATTATCATGGAAAATGCAGGTATCGGATATTTTTGCATAGCCCGAACACCACGCACGGATAAGTACAAGCAAATCCTTTTAGATCTTCCCTCGTGTTCGCGACTAGCAAAATAGAAATGAGAAGCAACCCGATCGTCGGAGATTGATCACTCCTTGACTGGATTCCGCTGGCGAAAAATATAATCCCAGACAGCACAATGTCTAAAATCGGAATGTAAGACGTCTTTGAGACATTTTTTATTCTAGAACACCACGCTGTATGGGGGTCGAAAAATTCACCACACATTTCCGAAACTTGATAATTTTTCGAATTTTTTTCATTAACGCGAATCGTAAAGGATTTATCGGACAAGCGTATGCGATACGTACGAGGCTCATCACACGAATGAAACGACAAGGCGTGCAGTCGTCGCGATTTATTGTCCGAATGGAATAAAGGCGTGAATTCGGTTGGGGAAGGGGACGTAATCAAATAGGACGACTTCACCACTCTCGCCGCTAATTTAGCAGCAGATCTCGCGAGGATTTTACGCGAATCGTAAAACGCCGTTCGGCAGAATCCTGTAACACATATGCTTCCACGATGCTCCGTTCGACGCGCAGAACTCACGATGACGAATGAAGAGGAGGACGTGAGCGCGGAGAGCGGGGAAACATCTCGTCGACTAAAAACACTTTCGAGAAGGCGGCGGGAGGATGATCATTTCGGAAGTGATTCGTGGAGACGCTCGTAAAACGGAGGTTAGATGGCTCTTTGTACTAGTTGCAGCTCTCGGATATGCGTGCGTGCGGGTGTGCGCGGTACGCATATACATGTATCTCTATCGGAATGTCAGGAGGAAAAAGTACGTTCAAGTGCGCCCCGGTTTATCGCATCCTTAGCAAGGAGATGTACTCTCGTTCGACAAAGATAGCCGACTGCTATTCAGCGGAATAGACCGAAAGATTTGAAATGGCGAGCGGAAAGCGTAAAAATTTCATCACCGGTGCGAGAAAACTGGCGTATTATATCCCGACGACGGTATCTTCCCTTTCTCTTCTTATCTCGGCTTATCATTAAATCAACGAGACCTATCGTTAGATTCCCGAGCAGACGTAAAACGTTATTCCGTAAAAATCTTAAAAATAGCAAAAGTGAGCGTTACATTACCGCCTGGCGCAACTAGTGATGATTTTTCACCTTTCAACTGTAATTTCCTTTGTCCGACCGTCAGCTAACTTATTTATCTAGCCATTTTAAGAAAAGCGAGCGTTACATTATTGGCTAGTGGCGGCAAATTTCCAACCAGACGGGGTTCGACCAAGGTTCGCGGATAGCAATAAGCGTTGATAAGGTTTTTTAATTAAAATTTTATTAAAATTCCATATGGACAAGGGTAGGGTTCAGGGTGTGATGGCGGGATGATAGAGGTGAGAATTTCGTTCGATGAAGCACAAAGTAAAGACGAATGTAAAGAAAGAAAATAGGCCGATCCCGCGCGAAGCGCGCTGGTCCTGGGTCGCTTCGCGCGCATCACGCGTTCGTTTCTCGCTTGATGCCGTTCCGCCAACGGGCCTGATTGACCGATCGACAAATCGCCGGGGTGGTTGAATGAGTGCTCGCCATTTTTTCGCTTTCTTCCAACGAGTTACCAGGTCTTTCCTTCGCGTTAAGAGAGCCGATTACGAGGAAGGGGTGGGTAGAGTTGGTGTCTTCTTCGCTTTTTTTTCCCTGTTGTCGGTGGTGGTGGTAGGTTGTTAGATTACGTTCTCCTAGTTTAACCGTGAAGTCCACCATGAAGTCCACCAAGGACGAGACCATGGCCGAGACCGAGACCACCGTGTCCAAGACCGACGAGACCGGCGCCATGGCCAGCCAGAATGGTCTTGGTGACGACAGGGGGAGCATGGACGATGGGGGCAACGGGTTGAGCGATCACAGCGGCGCCGTGCGCGAGCAGCGGACCGTGGCCCACGACCGCCGGGGCGGCGATTCCTCCGAGCTCGTGTCTGACAACGACACCGGTAACGCCACCGGGGGCGGCGCAGGCAACAGCCAGGATGGCAGCGAAGACAGCCTAGGGGGAAGATTGCCGTTTAGAACGATCGGTTCGTACGAACGATAGCGAGAGTCTACGAGCGGCGCGGAACCGGTTTCACAGTCGTCGTGCACCCGCGAGCGAGACAAAGTAAGGTCAGCCGGACGATAGTTGCGCTCGTTCAAACCGCCGGCGAACGAGGATCGTTTCGCAAGAGATCGACGGAATAGGCGGAAAAAATGCAGCGCCGACTGCATTCCGCTTTGACACCGGCGACGGCGGTAATAGTAGGTGGTGGTGGGGTTGACTAACAATGTACATGCTTCAGTGATTTCGCTCGCTTACGGATTTTCGCGAGACCGGTGAATGGTGCAAGGGCGGCGCACGCCCGCGCGGAAAGGTCAAACCGGGGAGGAATCTTTTTTCCCGCGTGTGCAGCCGTGTGAGACGGTCTCTTTATCGATCACGCGAGAGGAGAGGCGAAGTAAGTATTAGAGGCTCTGTTTACACGGGGATGTGCATACAAGACGGCGCGACGGAGGAGACTTGGCGAGCACTGAAGGCACGAGAAGAAAATAAGGGCGCGCGCTTTCCGGTGAAGCGTGCCGCGTAAAACCGGATCCGTCGCGGATCATCGTGACACGGTTTCTCTCGGCGGATCGGCGGCGAACCTTCAGAGAACTCCGACGCAGAAACGATCGTGAGAGAAGAGAAGAGAGGCGTCTTTACGGAATCAGTTGAGCGAGCGCAATCTGGAATTGTTCGTGGTGAATTAGCGGAATCAACGGAAGCTCTATTAGATCTATCGTGGAGCCCTTTTACGGTCTCATCGATCGGTCGTACAGTCAGTCGGTCGATATTCACCCAATGGAATCGCGATAATCGGTAAACAAACAGAAAAAAAAGCGGTCCGTTTGAGCGTCTTGCGATCGCGATCGGAGAGAGAATCGCGGAGAGTGCAAGAATATCGTTAGAGGCTACAATGAAATGAATCGTTTCAGCTTACCAACTTGAACATGGTGATTGTGGGTTGCTTGTTACTTCTCGGAAGTAAGTGAGCTTATGCCTCTTTCGGCGACTGGGGGCCCTTATATACCGTGTTTGATTTTTAAAAATCGCCATAAATTCAATCACGTGATCCCCCGCCATATCGAGTATGACGATATGTGTCGGTTAGTTGAGTCAGCCGATCTAATGGTGGGGTAGTCGTCCGGCCAATCGTCGTGCGCGATACTAGTTTCAACCGTCGCGCCGGTTGGCCAATAATGCGCTTTCAACCCTTCGCATCGGTCTCGAGAATTGGGTTAAGACACTCCGTGTTGTAAGGCACCGACGTGATGGAGAACCGATACGATATACCCGCCACGACTACGAGATAGCGTATACAAGCGAAACTGTGTGTGCGTGGGGTGAGTGTATTGTACCGCGCGCATATGGCAAGAAAAAAAAGAAGATGGAAAAAACCGCGGCATAGGTGCTCGCCGCTGGATGCAAACTCATTTCGTAAAGACGCAGCCAAGGTCTACTCGCACTCGCGGCACCGACCTTCTTCATCTTTTCTCGGGCGTCGCGTGGAAACGGAGCCCGCGGAGAACATCTTTTATGAGCCGAAATTCCCGACACGCTAAAGGGTTTCGTTCTCGACCGACCTCTTGACTTTGTTTTGCTTATAAAGAACGGAGGATTTGTTTGTGAAAACTTCTCTCTTTTGGCGATGGAAACCGGTATAATTATGTAGATCCTAATTAAAGAATTATAGTAGGGATTTTTAGTCGCTCAAAGTGCTCCAAACCGGATTTCGTCTTCACATACTTGGACATTGAAGTGTGCGAGATATCTCGCGAAATTAGAGGAAAATCACAAAAACTGACGTAGATATGACATACCAAAACGGTATGTCGGTTTCGGTGCTTTTCTCTAATAAATGATATTTCCTCAAAGATGGAATTTGTATTTTTCATATTTTATATTATAATCTTTCCCATCCCCACGGAATATCATTTTTGACATCAGCCTAATACGCGCTTTCGAATTACGCGCACGGTAAAGCGTATACATCGCGCCAATTATCGCGAATCAACATGGAGATTATTCCGGCAGATTCACGGAGCGTGTTCATGAAAATTCGGGCCGAGCTCGCTTCCGACTGAGTTTTAGCAGCAGCCACCGCGGCGAGTCGTCGGCGCCTTCGCGGATTGAGTTATTTATTCTCTCGCGCGCTTTCGCTTCAAGCGTCAACTCGGGGTGGAAGTTGGACGCGAGGATCGGGGCCATTGCGAAGATTAGACGGTTCCGCGACGGGCGCCTGAAATTAGGGACGAGCAATCCTCGCGAAGGTATTCGCTTCCGGGAGCAAATCAAACTTTTATCAATGGAAAGCGTTACTTTACATAATTTCCCCCGCGCTCCCCCTCGCTCGTTCGGTCAACATCGGCGAGTTAGGTAACGCGACTCGGATTACGAGCGCCGTTGGAGAAACGTAACAACACAACAAGTGTGATCGAGGTATCGCGTGTCGCCCCGCTGGATCGACGTGTCTTTTCGAGTGGGTCCGCGTGGGCGTACACGCGGGCGTAAGCGTGGGTGGACGATGCGGGAACACCGTCGACCGTTCATTCTCTGAATCAAGAGCAAACCATCCTCTTGAATCCTGCATCGGCTGGCGATAGCACGGTTAATCATCCGTAACAAGAAAACGCTGCGTATACACATGCGTGTACAGATGCAACATACAATACTTACCGCCCGTCCTCTTCCGTGCCGCAACGAAAATAAGACCCTATGACGCATTTTCGACGTTGCAGAAGCCCGCCTGACTTATCGAAAGTTTTACGAAGCCGGTGAAAATAAGCGTAATGAAAGATCTCGTCCCGTCGCGAGATTCGTTCGACCGAATAAACGTGGTAATTCGGGGCTCATGTCGTCGTCGTTAGAACGCGGCGGTAATGTATATATATGTATCTCTCTCTCTCCCCCGAGGATCGGTCGTGCGACGGATTTCCAGCGGACCGTGTCTCGTTGTCTCGACAAGACGGGAGAGACCAAAGGGACAGGCGGAAAATATATTTTCGGCCCGGTGTCTCCTCCTTGCTGCATCGTCGGCCGCATCGCGATCGGTGGGAAGATGCATTCATGTGGTAGGACAATTCCCCAAGTTCGGCGTCCCCTTTTCACCGTCGAGCAATTCCGAGAGCCGGAAGATCGATCGTCCCTGAAGATCCTATAAAACTATTCCCGGAGCTTACACGATGGGAGCCTCCGTTCCACGTCGGCTAACGTGAAATTGATAGCGGGTCGTCGTTCGCCAAAACGCAGACGTGTCTCGCTAAGTTCCATCTTGCCCCGGGCAGCTCTGGCCAATTCCGTTTGCCATTCGCAATCGAGTATGATTTCGTATTTCTACGATTCTCCGTGGTTCCACGTTTTCTCGTTTTTCTTTTCGCGACGTTCTATGAAGGGCGAAGGACGCGATATGTTCGCAGAAATTTCACCCCCAGTGATAGATGTCGGTATAATTGCGCAGGGTTTAACGGTAACGGACGATAATTGAATTTAAAGTCGAGCGTTAAATTTTCGAACAGCTTTCACGCGTCAAATCTCAAAATGAAGTTCGACGGAGAATTGATTCGACAGTTTTTACGAGGAACGAAAACCCCGATTATGGACTCGTTCAGAATTGATTCCGATCGGAATGGCTTAGTTATCCCCTATAAAATATAAGAAGAAATCTAGGGAATAACTAAACGATGCTAATTGAAATTGATTTCGAACGAGTCTATAATATGTGCCCTGTATTGTTTCGGAAATGTTAATCGGTACAGTTTCACGAAATTTAAGCGAAGAACCGCAAACATCAGCCGAGCGCGACAGCCCCGCTGCGTTTCGGCCGAGCGGGTGCATTTTCGCGACATTACGCGAACGAGCGGTAATAATTGGTGCTGTTAATGGGCCAGAGCGATCGCGTTTTACTTCGTGGTTTTTCACATGACGATAGGTGTCGAATCTTGTGTACCGTTTACGATAAAAATCATTTGCGCGTGATTTACTGATATTATCGTTATTTTCCCGCCAAGTGGACTTCATGCGAGAAATGATGCGCTCGTGACGTTCAATGAAGTGTCTTTGCATAATGACGATGTAAGCGTCAATAATGCGCCATGTAAATATTACGACATGTCGTGCGACACGCTCGCGCGCGAAACGCATTGTGCTCACCGCATTAATATCACGTTTGTGTATATTACATGACAAATTTTGATTGTAGGTCTAATGTGTGCCCATTTCCACGATCGATACTCTATAATGGTACGGAAACACAGTGATAATGTGTGCGTTACGGCACAGCCTATAATTATTGTCGGTGTGCACGTTGCATTGCTGATGAGAAGTAAATATGTCACGATAGTAGCCGCCGCCACGCAGAATCTATCGCAAGAAAGCGCTCGAATTACGTCAGATGTAAAAATGGATTTTTACGTGATTTTTCGCGACACCAATCGCGCCACGTGCGAGCGCTGGAAAATACAGCGACGTAGATTTCATCAATACTCTTTGTCAACTGTCCGGATAATTACACATATTTTCTCCCGCTTAGTTTATCCGGCCAGCTAATAAAACACGTTCGCTCGTAAAAACGTTTATCGTGTGGCCGTAAAATAATTAATTCGTTCCCGTATTGAAGCGGAGGGAACCGCTCATTCGGCAAATTTAAGGCGGCCTTCTTGAACCTCCCTCCCGGTGGATATTCGGTAGTTTAGAAATGAGAGATCAGCGTAAACGGTACTGCACCTTCTAATTAGCATACACGTGGTAAAAAAGAGGAAAGAAGGAGGTAAAAAGAAAGAAACACGCTTCAATGCCAGACGCTCGTCGTGTGTGTGGGTGCACACGCACACACGTCTGTGTTTTTACGCTTTCCTGTATGGTAATATAAGAGACGGAGGAGCAGTACGTACCTGTCCAGGGAAACCGCGACCAGGCTGTAGACGGAGGCCGCTACGGAGACGCCCTGTATATAAGTGACCGCTTTGCACATGAACCATCCCAGGAACCAGGCTGAAACACATACGAGCAGTTCGTAATTTATCGTTTCGAGTGTCGTTCGAGTGTCGGGCGGAACTTTGGAAGGCCGAGAGTAGTTGTGGCCGAAGGGATTTTTAGCGTTTAAGGCAACTAGCTGAGCGGCCGACTTACGAGAAGCAAACTTACTGTTTGGCTTAACAGCTAGGAGGAACGTCACGCAGATGTGCGAGGGCATACTCGACTAGCAGGCACTCGTCGCATCACGTCAAAACCAAAAATCACAGATATCCTATTGTAAAGCTCGCGGGAATTCGCCCGTCATATCGTATTCGCTTTTTTTTTTCAGACGTTAACGCGACGTATCTGTTTATCAGATAAAAATTCCTCGTTCCTCGAAAATAGAATTTCTCTTCGCAATTGTCTGATTACACGAATTAACTAAAAGAATCACGTCGTTCGTATTCCTTTGTATCACGTCCGTTGCGTTGCATCTGTTTATTAGGTGAATCTAGAATTTTTGTTCTGGCAATTTTTTGATTACGCGAATTAATTAACGAATTTGCATTGGCTAAATTCGTCTGTGTTGCGGAGGGAAAGATTGCGTTTTCGTGAGAAGTGCCATATTCAAATGAAATAATACCCGGTGTGCTAATATCACGCTAAAGACATTACACGAATTTGCTTCGTTGCTATACAGGCTTTTCATCATTTTCTATCTCCAGAAACAGGTCGGAGGTGATCCAACTAAAGGTTCAAGCGACATTGTCGATATCGATTATTAATAAACGGCAGGTACGTATTATTCACGTTAAAAAAAAAAGAGTATGCTTTTCAACTTGCAATGAATCTAAATTCTGCGCCATGTGTCACACAAATTTTTGCGACCTAATTTGTAGTAAGATATGATACGAACGTAGTTTCAGTTTCTATTATTAATCGCTTCTTTATACGTACGATTGTTACGTACGTTTTTCAAAGAGAGGAGAAAGTAATTAATTCCCGCGAGAAAGAGCTCGAGGAGCAGACGGAACAGAGGAGAGAAAGAGAAAAAGGAAGACGAGGAGGAAGAGGAGGAGGAAGAGAGCTGGAAACGAAAAGAATTTTCATTTATGATCATCGATCATCTGCCGATTGATAGTACGGTAAATAATTAACTCGCATAATACAATATCGCGAAGGTATTTGGTAGTATAATACGTCTAAGATGGGAAAGCTCGCCGCTTTCTCAGAATAATAGAACTATATTGGATTAGAGGGGGTAGAGGTGGGAGTGAAGGGAGTAAGAAGGTCCATCAAAGGAAAGGTCGCTCGTAAATATCGAGCGACGCCTACTGTGTCGCCGAACGAAAACTGCGCGGACGGCATATATAGTCGTTTTTGATTTCCGCGACTGACCTCACTTCATACTTTTCGCCGGTCGGCAAAGGAGGTCCATCGGGGCATTTTCCCGAAAAGATTCTGCGTCATCGGCGTCTCTGGGTGCGAAAAGTATCGAGTCGTAAATTCCAGCCGGTTATGGAGTGGAACGGGACGGTTCGCGCGAGATGCACGGCCCTCGGACGAAGCGCGTACGCGATAATGAACAACGTGCTCGCTAACTCGCGCAAGGTGCAGCACGAGGTAAATACTACTAGGTGGGTGTTCCCCGTGTGTCGAAGCCCCTGTTGTTTGTCGGATTCGATCGCCGTCCCGCTTTCTTCCGCCGACGAGCGACGACAAGCCTGCTCTCGGCGCGAGCTGTGTCTCGAACGGAGAGAGAGAGAGAGAACCAGGCGCGAATTCTATCCCGTAAGAAGGATTGAAAGTGACGAATGGAGAACCTGAAGATTTAAACAAATAACTGAGATTTCCACCCTCAGAGATTTTTATTCGCGCGTTTACATCGGTATTCAGTCGAGTGAAATTTTGTTCTTCGCTCGGCGGAATTTTTAATCGGGCTCTTTTGAATTTGAGAAAATTACGTTAGAGTGGTAGAAACGACGAAGAAAAGATTCTAACGGCACGTAGGTCGCTGGTGCTTTGTACCTTCCTGCCGGGGAGAAAAATGTTCAATTTGAAGGAGAAAATATTGATTCGAACGAGTATTTCTAATGAAGCAAATTACTTGCGTATAGTGTTCTTCTCGTCGAGGATGATTTTACAATCATTTTGATTTCGACGATAATTTCTTTGAACAATGCCGAACTCAGGCGAATGCGATCCGCCGCGCCATGGCCAGCCGATACCGAGGGGCATTGTGCGGAGTGAATGGCTCGTACGCACCGAGGTCGTGTAGAAAGGAACCTCCCGTGCCTGGTCCTAGATCGTGAATAACGTTAAGCGAATAATTATTAACCGTTTAAGCACCGGGAGGGGTCGCAAGAATATACGATAAAAATGGCAACGTGCCTAATGATAATGCGCTCGGTGAATAAATTAAACGGCTATATTACGAGAACTATTCTCACACACCGAGTTACACAATTGCATGATAAATACGTCAAATTGCGAGACGAGAGAATGGAGCGTGATAGAAATCTTCCGAATCGCGAGACAGATGGTCTCTTGCAGATCTTTGTATTTTCACACGGTCATAAATTAACATAAATAAAAATCGAACTGCCGTTAGGAAAAATCTAACGCGCGTGTCACGACATAACAAAAGCAAATGTGAATGACCCGGATGGAAATAGTTAAGAAAATCGGGAAAACACGTATGTCAGGTTTACCTCGAAACAAATTTCTCAAAACTTGATTCATGCATATAGTTAAGATTGCACATAAGCTGATATCTGACGTGTGTGTATGTGAGTGTGCAGTTTATGTCTCTAGTATCAGTTTTACTCGAGCTGTCGCTCGAGCGAATATAAAAATCATATCGCGGAAAGTAACTCCTTCCGCGTCTATCGCATTACACGTTGTATATTAACGCGTTAGTCAGAGCCTTTGTCCACTTTGAGACAGATTTTTCCTCGCTGATGATAGAATATTTTATACACAAATGAAATTCACACATGAAGCACAATTTAAAGGATGACAACGATGAGAAAAGAACGCCTCTCGTATATCCGTAAAATTTTCTCTCACAAAGAGCAAATCAAAACAAACTCCATTTTGATGGCGTTTTCATTCGACACTTGGCCAAGAGACTTTATCGTTAAATTGCAAAAAGAGCGGTCCGCGTGTATGTTAAAACGCATTCTTTCTCTTCCGAGCACGACATTTAATGACGGCCCTATTCTTTACCGCGCGGAAATAATTAAAAAAGAGTGCCTCGAGCGCACAAAGCGTTTCTCCGTAATGTTGAATCAAATGTACCGCGAATCCTGGAGGAAGCGCAATTCGGGGGTGAAATGAAATCATCGTGCGCGTAATTCCTCGCGGCGGAACGAAAACGTCGCGACGAGGAAAGCTGCAAAGGACGAGTCGAGTTCGTTTAAATTCGATCAAACCGTTCATTTTCACCGGCAGCTTGATTCACCTATTCTTGGCGCGGTTGTAAGTTCCGCTTACACAATGCGCCGAGGACCTCCGTTCCGCGAAAGTTCCGTCGAAAATATCCCGGCAAGAACGGTCACTATCGCGCTAATACGTACGCGCGTCACGGATGATGGAAGTTAGCGATTCGCGACGTGAGGAGCGCGGCAACTTTTAGATCCACTCGGAAATCCTCCAATCGGACGGCGCATTCCCGATGGGGCATTCAAAAAGTTTCCCTCGGAATAATGCGCACGGTTGTGTGTATACGTGAGACTTGTGGCCGGGGAGCCACGAGCGCTACGCGATTTCGTGATAAACGCGTACCAGCCCGAGGATAAGGTACCGACGTCCTTACGTTTCTTCCGATTCCCGGATTACACGTCTGCGACTTCGTTGAGAGCACGGGCTCGGGTGGATACACGGAGGAATCTCAGCGCATGGCTCACGTAGCGAAATTCTTCGACCACCCGAATGCGCTTACGCGATACGTGGTGTAAAATCGTGGCGCAACGCGTGACGGAGCGATTCCCCGCGAAAAGGGAGACGAATTCCGAAAAGAAAGGGTCAATGTTTGTTTCCATACTTTTTATAATCAAAGTTCGCGAACGACTGGGACATTTAAAGATTTTCGCAAACCGACCGAAAATTTCATTCATTTTACCACTGATATACATATAATTACACATGAGAAATTTTTTCTCGAGATATTTGTAATCTTGATCGTTGCGCCCATTATTGTACGCAGCAATCAAGGTTCATAGGAAGATTAATAATTGGAATGATGATTATATGTTACTAAAAATAGACCGTTATTCTTTTTACCGTTCCAACATATCAGCCGCTATTAGCATCTTAAACAAACTGGAGGCATATCAATATCATTTCGTTTACATTACATGCAAAATACATGCAAATCATGACTTCCGTAGTAAATAGTAGAGCAAAAATAGAGCAAAACGAGTTTCTCCGTCGGGAAAAAGTTCATTAAATACCCTGAGGAATGAATTTCTTTCTACATTTGTAAATTTCAAATTCTCGATTTTCACTTTATATGTTCCGTTCACGCATGTGCAACTGCAATTACATTACGTTCTTTATTGAATATTCCTCCTTATACTTCTTCCTGTCGATATAAAATTTTTATTAAATTACGCATTATATTGTTAAGATAACAGTATATAAACTTAAATACTTTATATATTCTTTTCGTTAGTTATAGACTTCGTTATTGTTGTATCCTTTCCCCGCACTAATAAAAGTAACATGTACTTCCATTCAAAATAGCTCGAATTTTTCGACTCTATGTGTTCGTTCACGAATAACAGTCGAATAGCGTCAGCGTCTTAATTGTTATCCTTGCGCAGGATTGACTGGAATTTATAGCTTCGTTATTGCGAGGAGAAGTTGCGAGCCCGACGAATAGAGAGCAAACAATATATTTGGAATGGAGAATATTACGGCGGAGACAATGATGCACCGGCGCGAAAAACACACGGCGGGATGGAAAATATAGCCTCGCGCTAGATATAGATACCTTTTATTGGTCGTATGTAGATGTGTAATTACATAATCGT